TTTATGTTCCCACACCAATCCCACCACCAGTTTGAACTTCCCTTCGCCATTCTCCCCAGTTTCCTACCCACCTCAAAACCTGCCCTTTTAGCAGGTACAAGATAATTTATTTTATATTGCTGTTACAGTTAAATGTGTAATAGAATTATCAAAACATACTTCAATTAAAAATAGTGAAAGTGGTTGTATCTCACAGTGGGGTTGTTGTCTGAGGGTTTACTAGCAACAAACAGCTTAGTAATAAGCTGCCTTAGTATTAAGCTGTTTGTTGCTGGTTGAGCCTTCAGTGTTAAACTGATGTACCTAGAATTTTTATGAGCTTGATATCTCCACAGAGGTTCCTCATGAAGCAATGAAGTTGGGCCATTGGCATGGCGATGACTTTGGGGTGTGAATGCAACTGTTAGGGCTTCAGCGGGGCGAGGACTCAGCCCACCCCCATCCCGAGGACACCCCAGAAGTTTTGGCCAGAAGATCAGTGTAGCCGTGAATTTTGGTGGCTTGGTTTGCATCTCATTTCTGAGATGAGTTTTGAATCTGTGAGACTGGGTTGATGTGAGGGTGGCTGTGGAATGTGTGTGGGGTTATGGGTTTTTGAGGAAAGAAAGATAAAAGGCCAGTTTCACCATTTATAAGGGTAGCTTTGTAGCACTGTTGTCGCGTTGTTCATCGATGCCTGCTTGAGCAGGCACCAGTAACATCTCCTTTTGTCTCTCACGAGCTAGTATAGCTCAGTGGTCTCATCTCGCTCCAGGAACACAAAGTGAGACTTGTTGTTACTGTCTTTGGCTTATTGAATACGCCATGGTTAGCATGCAGGCTCTGCCGTGTGGGCGGGATACTCTCGGTAGCTTGTGGGGCTCTGCTGGGCTCTCTGAGAGGGATGGAGGAATCGAATCTGGGTTGGCCATGTGGAGGGCAAATGCCTACCTGCTGTGCTATTGCTCCCGTCCATTTATAAGGGTACAAACTAATATATAGTCTGTAACTTGATGTTAAGCATATTTATTAAGAATATAGTTTTAATTAAGCATATTTATTACTTGTGAGATATTTTAGAACTTGTTAATGTCTTTTAGCAATCTTTCTACTTTGTTAATCACTTCAAATTGTGGCGTAGATTGAAGCTCCTTTATTGCCAAGTCTAAATAGATTTTGCTCTATAGCTATTTTCTTAAATTCTGTTGAAAATGTGACACTGTAGTTGGAGACTTGACTCCATTTTTGGTGTTGTCATCAAGATTATTATATCGCAATGCAAATTTTGCATATATACACTACTTTGCCCTAAATGTTAGGTCATATTGAGAAACATTATCAAGTCTGTAGCCAAAGTTAATTTCCAAAGTTATTCAGTATATGATAATAGTTATTTGAGGGTGACTCCTTTTGTTAGATAAAGCTTACTCTCTGATGAGTTTGTTTAAATTTTGTAAAACTCTACCCTGCTCAACCATTGGTGTGCTTTGTGATACAGCAAGTGAAGCTACTCAACTGCTTTTGGCCTATTCTGATACTTCACAGTCTGACTCCCAGGTTTTATTCTAGTGTTCTTCCTTTCTATTTTTATCACTTTTTTCCCCTCCAGCACCACATGTTGTCTTTTGTATCTCTGGTCTCTTTCCCTTAACCTTCTGCTATTGAAATTCATGTGTATTGTGTCCTATTATAATTTATTTCTTAATAGTACTAAACAGTAGAAAATTATACAATAAGGAACATCGATTTCCATCAATACCTAGCATATAACATAAAAAGCTCTTGAATTTCTTAAGTGATAGGAATGTCTTTGATATGCTACTGAGGCAACTTTTGGTGGCCCTTTGGTAATGTGTGGATGAAGACTGGTGTCCAGACAGAATGTCACTGTCACTGTCACCCCGTTGTTCATTGATTTGCTCGAGCAGGTCTAGTAACGTCTCCATTTTGAGACTTGTTACTGTGTTTGGCATATCCAGTACGTCACAGATAGCTTGCCAGGCTTTGCCGTGTGTGTGAGATACTATCGGTAGCTTGTTGGGCTCTCTGAGAGGGGCGGAGGAATTGAACCCAGCTTGGCCGGGATGGCTTTGCGCAAGGCAAACGCCCTACCGCTGTGCTATCCCTCCGTCTTCCAGGCAGAATACACGCATAATTTACAGAACTGAAACTTTTATCTGTAAAACCTTCCAGGAGGGAAAGGGAGCTAGAGATTGAGTTGAATCATGGCCCCAGTGATTGATTTAATTGTGTTTTGTGTGCCTGCGAGTATGATGAGGCCCTGATAAAACTGAACATAGGCTCTTGGTGGAGTTTCCTGGTTGATGAACACATAACTTTGTTAAGTGGGAGGTTCACCTTGTTCCATAAAAAGGAGGGAAGCTCTGTGCTCCCTCCCCGACCATGCATCCTTTAATATAAAACTATAAATCTAAGTTCTGCACAAGTTCTCAAGAGTATTAGTGAGTTCTGTGATTCATTCTAGTAATTTTTCAAACCTAAACTGGCCTTAGGAACTTTTCTGTTTGTGGTCTGTCAGAATACAGGTGGGCTAGTCACACCCTGAGTATGGTCGAAGACTGAAAAGAGACCATTCTTTCTGTTTGTTTGGTTTGATATGTTTTGTTTTTTGGGTCCCACCTGTTGGTGGTGTTCAAGGTTACTTTTGATTGCACTCAGGGACCACTAATGGTGAGCTCGGGTATCATCAGGGGTGCCAAGGATTCAACCCAGTTAGACTTCGCAAGGCAAAGAGCTCTACCTGCTCTATTATTGCTTGGACCCTGGAGACCATTATTGTAAAAGTTTGAACTTGTGGCATTTAATTATAACTCTGAAATTTAAGTATGAAAATTGCATTTAAAATAGCCAGTCAGGTAGAAGCCATATAGGGATATATACCACTTTTTGCATGCAAGCTTTTCATTGGGATACATTAGGGTATAATGAGTATTTAAGTGTTAAGTTCTATTTCATACTGTTATACTTATTCTAGGTTCCTTGTATTTCCATATTTATTTTAGAATCATTTTGTTGATTTCAGTGGTAGGTGCGGGAGGGGTTTAGAGCTTGCTTTGAATCTGTTGCTAAATTTGGGGAAAATTGCCATATTTAACAAAGTAATTAAAATAACATTGCATTTTAACAGACTAGTTTAGGTATGCATTGATTTTTGTATCAGTAGTTGTATTTAATAAGTCTGCTGAGTCTTTCATTTGCTCCTTTTTTCTTAGGTCTCACATACTCCTCTTCTGTGTGTTTCTAGTTTGTCAAATTATATCCTTGAATAATTCTTTGAGATGTGATTATGAATTCCTTTCCTCCCTTCCCTCCCCGCCCCTCCCCTCCCCTTTTCTTTCCTCTTTGTGAGGTAAGGACATTTTTGAAACTTACATAGAAAGATGTGAGGGGAAAGCGAAGGAGAGTTGGAGAAATCTGTGTGTTCAAGAGAGAACATAGACTTCTCCAGAGTGAAAAGAAACAAGCAAAGAAACAAGCAATACTTGTTCAAGAAGAGCAAGCTTGAAGAGCAAGCTGTGGTTTCTGTATTTCTATAACTATACATAGTTACCATGCCTTCTCACTTATTTTCTGCCTGGCGTTTTCCAGGGTCAAAGTTATTTTCCTCAAATTTTGAAGACATAATTCTGTTGTCTTTGACACTTACATTGATGGAGAGATTTGTTGCTAGTATTACTTATTTTATGTTTTTGTACATATCTTTACAAAAACTTTGAGAACTTTTCTGTTAGATTTTTGAATGTTTAGCACTATTTTATAGTTTCTTTAGTATATTTTAGTCTCAGAATTAGGCATAAGGAACCTCCTGGTTTTTTTTTTTTCAAATCTCTAGATCTTTTGGGGAAAAGTTCCTTTGCCAAAATTTCTAGCTCTGTAATTTGTTTTTCTCGCCAGTTATATAATTCTAAAGCACAGGTTCCTTTTTTATATGAAATTATTATTTGAGATGACTTGTTATTCTATTGAGTATTGATTCTTCATACTTAATGTTTTTTTTTTTTTTGAGACCCTGTCCTGTGGTGCTCAGGGACTCCTCTTGGCTTATTGCTCAATGGTCAAACTCAGGCCTTTTGCATTCAGAACCTGTGCTCAGCCTGTTGAGCTATCTCTGTAGCCTGTACTTAGTTCATCCTTATTTTTTGTTTTTTTGTGTTTCCCTCAAATGTTGGTAGGTTTATCCTATTTGCCCCTAATTGTTTTTATAGAAATCATTTCTATTTGCATTGACTTTAGGTACAGAGAGACATTTGTTGGGTGGGACATGTGAGGATTGAGATTATTATTTCTCTATTTTTCCATGGGATCAGTACCACTTACACTGGAACATGTAACACTCTCGCTTGTTATGAGCAAGGTGATGAGCAGGGAAAGAGAGGAGAAAGCCCTGTTTCAAATTCTGTTAGGGTCAGAGAAGTAGTATTGATAGGAAGCACTTGCCAGGTGTTCCAAATGGGTTCCATCCATGGCTCTGCTGGGAGTGATCCTTCAGCACTGCTGGGTGTGACCAAACTCCCCCATTTGACTAGATGCCCCAATTCTCATAAGACTGTGCGTTGTTCTTTGCAGGCATATGGGGTTTATATCCATTGAATCTGTTGTCTTCGGGGTTTCTCTAACAGTTCCTACCCGCTTTACCTTTTTCTATGTGAGTTATATGCAATAATTTGTTTTCTTAGAAAATCTTTCCAAATTATAACTTTCTGTCATTTGTTATTTGTGTTTCTTATTACTGTTTCTTTGTAAAAAAGAATGTTTCTCCTTAGATTGCTGCTTTGTCCTCCAAGAGTGAAATGATTTATGTATTGTTTGATAGTCAAGCATGTATATACCTATATTCAGTTTTTGTATAATTGTTTTTTCTCTTAAAGATGTCCAATCTGAAGTAATAAGTTGTTTGGGTAGTAAGGTCATTTTTTCTTTGATAATAGTAATAATAGCTTTCGGATTTTATTCTTTGGTGATTTCAGTTTTACTAAACTTTGAAAAAATTTATTTCGTAGCTCTTTTGTGCCTTTCAAGATGATAAATATCTGTACATGGTGATGGAATACATGCCTGGTGGAGACCTTGTAAACCTAATGAGTAACTATGATGTACCTGAAAAATGGGCCAAATTTTATACTGCTGAAGTTGTTCTTGCTCTGGATGCTATACACTCCATGGGCCTAATTCACCGAGATGTAAAGCCTGACAACATGCTCTTGGATAAACACGGGCATCTGAAGCTCGCAGATTTTGGCACATGTATGAAGATGGATGAGGTAAGTATATTAGCAAGTAAAAAAGCTATGAGTTATTTTAGAAACTTGAACTTCAAATCAGAACTTCATAGTTTTAAACAAAGATAAGTTTATTTTGGCTAATTGTGGATGACTCAAAGTAAAATGTCCAGCCAGAACATTTCTTTACTAATATTCATCAATGTGTAGAGTGCTTTACTAGTTGGTTAGCGATTTCAAGAGAAAAAAGTTCTCAAGTAACTTATCTTCCTCGTTGAATATTGACAAACGTTTGCTACCAATCAGTCCTAGTTCATATGTACTAGGTGAAGAAGTATGGCACAAGAAGTTAAGGAACCTGGTGTTCTTACCTTTTTTTCCCCACCCATATAAAAAAGATAAGGTAAAAAGTTTGCCTCTTTTTTACCAACTCTGTATTCACTAGCCACATAGAATAAAATTGGGGGCATCATTTATTATGGTGTTTTATACTTAACTGTTCGACATTTCATATTATGACAAATACAGTCTGTAGAATTTACCTCCTAACTTATTACAATAGTTTATGTTACAGAATTTATATCTTGCCTTTAAAATTTTTGGACAACCTGGCAGGCTACCGAATGTAACCTGCCCACACGGCAGAGTCTGGCAAACTCCCCGTGACGTACCCAATATGCCAAATACCAGTAACAATGATGGGTCTCATTCTCCTAGCCCTGAGAGAGCCTTGAATATGGCACTTTAAAATCTCTGGTGCCTGCTCGAGGCAATCGACAAACAACAGGATGAACAATAGGATATGCCTTTAAAATATAGTGTCATGTTTTATGTCATTTGTATTCTATCAAAAGGTAGATTTAGAGGTAACTTACATAAATAGCTTTTCTAAATGTTAATATATATTGACAGAAAATGAAATATATTACCTTTTGCATAGTTTTTCTATCCCTTCACTCTACTTATGTAGCTATATTTCTGTTGTCAAGACACTTATTAGGCTGATTTTTTTTCTCACATATGCACATGTGGTACTGTTTTATTTGTTCTTTTGTCTTCTTTAGTGATCCACATTTTTCCAAGTTCAGCTCAGATTTGACCTCATCTAGAGAATTCTCCCTGATAATTCTTTCTTATCACTATTAATATAACAATGTCCTTATATGCTTTATAAGCCATTCTTATCTAGATTGTATATCCTATCTACCCACCAAAACTTAACATTTTCTTACATTTTTTTGTCTTCCTTATTGAATCTTCTATGTTTTGCTGCATACATTAATCATTGTTTAGTAGGTGGAATATTGTACTCAAAGCTCCCTCTTGTGTTTATCATAATACAATATGGAATTATTGGCAAAATGATCTTTAATGAAAATAAAGTGTAAAATAACTTATTGATAGCATGGTAAACCTTTTAAAATTGATTATATTTAGTAATGTGTTACAATACTCTTCCTAGACTGTATTCTGATTTTCAATTAAACCGGAAACCTTTGGGTGTATGCAGAAACAGTAATCACATAAATAAAGATGATTTGAGAAAAGAAAGCTGAGGGGCCAGAGAGCTAGTACAGTGGTTAGGACGCTTGACTTGCATGCAGCCAATTTGGATTCGACCCCCAGCATCCTGTATAGTCTCCTTAACAACGTCAAGAGTGATTCATGAGTGCAGAGCCAGGAGTAACCCCTGAGCATCACTAGGTGTGGCCAAAATCCAGAGTGGGAGGTGGGAGAGGAAGAGGAGAGAGAGAAGATGTAGAGTATGGGGAACTTGCTATTTACATATAAGTTTAGAAGTGTAAGTAAACATTAAATTAGCTATTTAAACATTTCAAGTTACCTCTTTACAAAGTAAACTGAAGAACGGCCTTCAGAGCCATAGTAGTAATACAGTGGGTCATGTGCTTGCCTTGCACGCATATGACCCAGGTTGGATCCCTGGTATTCCAAATGGGCCAGTGAATGCACCAGGAGTGACCCCCGAAGTGCAGAGCCAGGAGTAAGCCCTGAGCACAGCCCTTGTGACTCCAAAACAAAGCAAAAACAAAAAAGAGTGGTTTCTATAGTTTTGTTCACCTTTTTTTGTAACTCAAGTGCCTGTTGTTAGCTTATTGTATTCTTTTTTTTTTTAGCTTATTCTTGATGCAACTTACTATCATTAGTTTTCTGTATTAAAGGACCCTCAACTTTGAAAAATTATGTTTCTTTCAGTTTTATTCTCTTTCCCAAGTAGGCAGCCACTGTAATAAGTTTACTCTCGCAAACTATTACCATACCTATGTATAACAATATAATACACTGTAGTAGAACTGCACTGTCCTCCCGTTTTTCATCGATTTGCTCGAGCAGGCACCAGTAATGTCTCCATTGTGAGACTTGTTACTGTTTTTGGCATATCGAATACGCCTCGGGGAACTTACCAGGCTCTGCCGTTCAGGCGGAATACTTTCAGTAGCTTGCCAGGCTCTCTGAGAGGGACGAAGGAATCGAACCTGGGTCAGCCGAGTGCAAGGCAAACACCCTACCCGCGGTGCTATCGCTCCAATATAATGCAGAGATTCTATTTTCTTCTTTTATTTAGCGTTGTTTAATATCTAATCAAATATGTGTGCATTATCTCATTTCTTCTTAGCACTCCATTGTATCTATATTAAGTTAACTTGGTGAATTCCCAGGTCACTTTTATTTATTTGTTTGTTTGTTTGTTTTTTAGGCCATTCCTTGTGGTGTTTAGGACTTACTCCTGACTGTGCTCAGGGGTCACTCCTGGGGGGTTTGGGAACACCCAGGTCAGCTGCATGCAAGGCAAATGCCCTATGTGCTATACTAATGCCCCGGTCCTCCTGCGTCACATTAGACTCCTTCTTTTCAGTCGTGCTATGTCGAACAGATTCATAATGCTGTTCATGTGTATTCTGACAAGGATATTTTTAAATATAAACCTAGAAGAGAGATTACTATAATACAGGATCACTGTTACTGTCCTCCCGTTGTTCATCAATTTGCTCGAGCAGGCCAGTAACATCTCCAATGTGATACTTGTCACTGTTTTTGGCATATCGAATACATCATGGGTAGCTTGCCAGGCTTTGCCATGTGGGCGAGATACTCTCAGTAGCTTGCCAGGATCTCCGAGAGGGGCGGAGGAATCGAACCTAGGTCCGCCAGGTCGGCCATGCGCAAGGCAAACGCCCTACCCGCTGTGCTATGGCTCCAGGATATGTCAAGTATTTCCTGATCTCCAGATTTTCTGTAAATGTTTATGGTCTCTTGTTAGTAGTGAATGAGAAATCCTGTCTTTGCATACTGTTAGTGCTCTTCTCATTATTAACTCTAGGTGCTACCGAATTCTTTGGTATAATGTAGTACTTTTTTGGTGTGTGTATATGTTTTGGGTCACACCTGGCAATGTTCAGGGGTTACTCCTGGCTCTGCACTCATTAATTACTCCTGGCAGTGTTGGGGACCATATGGGATTCTGGGTATTGAACCCAGTTTGGCTGCATGCAAGCCAAATGCCCTACCTGCTGTACTGTCACTCCAGCCGTAAAGTAGTGCTTTTTAAATTGTGTTTATCTGTAGTGATGTCAGTATTTCTTCATGTACTTGTCAGTTTCACCTCGTTTTATAAATTGCCTGTTTTGTGTATCTTTTGATCTTTTAAAAAACTGACTTACGGAATCAGTGTGGCTGAACCGCCAGGCATCCAACCTCTGAGGAGTGGCCAGCTGCCATCTGTAGCACCCAGGAGTTGGGGATGGCCTACAAACCCATCGACCCTAGCTCCAGCACCCCCAGGACTTGGTGCCCACGTCCCTTTGACTGAAGTGTTCCATCGCTGTTGGGCTAGGTGCCCAGAGCTGTGGCTCCTTTCAGGCCACTGTTTAAGGACTTTGGGCTGCCCTCCATGGACTGCATGCTGGCAGTAAAGCCACCTGGTGCCCTGGGTTCCCAGAGCACTACAAGGACCTGTCATTGGTCACAGAGGAGATGGGCAAAGAGATCTGAACCAACCTATGCTGGCAGCAAGAGTACCCTGGAGCGCCTGAAGAGAGGCATCGTTCATGCCCATGCCCTAGTCAGTGGCCTAGGCAAAGCAGAGACCCCGCCCAAAACCCGCTCAGAACTGCACACGCAGCCACTGCCGCACACCTGCTTCTCCCTGTTCTTCACCTCATGTTGCTATGTCCGGCCTGGGCAGCTCCCCCTGTGTCCCACGGTGGGCACCTGACAGGATCCAAGGAATAAAGCTCATGCCATTCAGCAGGTTTCACAAGGACACCCTCACCACTGCTCCCCCACCCACCCCATTGTGACTGAACCCCATATCCCAGACGTGTGGACAATGGTGGAGAGGTCATGGCTCCTGTTGGCTCTTGCTCCTTGCTCTGTCCCGCCACTGGCCCTGCCCAGGCCTCCTCCTCCCCCAGCAGGCCTGCCTCCTCCCTACCTTGTCTCCTGGGTCATAGCTACTTTTTTCCCCTCAGTGTTTCTTTGGCTAACTAAGCCCTTTTTATATAAATAAAGGATAAATTAAAGTTCTGCTCAAAAAAAATTTTTGGACATCTTTTTGTTATCTAAGGGTTCCTTATAAACTACTGAGTCAACAGTTATTTTTTATGTCATGTTCCAGTTTATTTCCATCTGTATCTTTGAACAAAAAATTTCACTTTTTTTTTGGGGGGGGGGCTTTCTTTTGGGTGGGTGGTTGGTCCACCACCCAGCGGTACTCAGGTCTTACCCCTGGCTCTGTTCAATATCACTCCTGGTGGTACTCAGGAACCATATGGAATGCTGGGAATTGAACCTAGGTCAGCCATATGCATGGCAAATCCTTACCTTCTGTACCACTGCTTTAGCCTTCTGCTTTTCTTATAGTCAATTTAACAGTCAACAGTCACACATCAGAAATTCTTTTATCCAAATATCCATTCTTTAATTAATGAGAATTATGTAATGTTAAGGGCTGGAGCGATAGCACAGCGAGAAGGGTGTTTGCCTTGCACGCGGCCAACCCGGCCCACCCGGATTCGATTCCTCTGCGCCTCTTGGAGAGCCCGGCAAGCTACCAAGAGTATCTCTTGCCCGCATGGCATAGTCTGGCAAGCTACCCGTGATGTATTTGATATGCCAAACACAGTAACAACAAGTCTCACGACGGAGACGTTACTGGGCTCGCTCGAGCAAATAGATGAACAATGGGAGGACAGTGCTCCAGTGCTATGTAATGTTAAAGAACAAATAGATTTTTATTAAAACTGTAGTATAAATTATATAATTTATAAATTGGTTGTGTTCACTATTAGTGTGAGAAACAGTGCTACAAAGTTCATTGCTTTGTTTGCCTCTGACCTTGTTACTACTTAAAAGTTTTTAGAAGTGTTCATTTTTATTTATATATATACATATATATGTATATATATAAAAGGAATCTGTAGAACATAGAGCCAAGTCAGGTCTGTGGCTTGGTTTTGTAAGGTTTTGGTGTTAAAAAATCATTTTTATATAGGAGCTAGAGTGATAGAATAGAGGGTAGGACACTTGCCTTGCACACGACTAACCTGGGTTCTATCTCTGACATCCTGTATGATCCCCAAAGCACCACCAAGAGTAATTTCTGAGTGCAAAGTCAGGAGTAACCCTTTGAGCATCACTATGTATGTCCCAAAAACAAAAAATGTGAAAGATTTTTCTATTTTTAAAAGCTGTTCCAATGTGTCCCACAAAGCATATGTATAATGTGAACTTACATTCTTACCTATATAAAATAAAAATGTATATAATTATCCTGTTACATACTATATATATCATGTTATATATATAATGCTACATGTTATTCTAGACATATAATGTAGACAGAAATGGTAGAATAATTTTTAATATTCATATAAAATTTTTACTATAAAATAGGTAGTTTTGTGTTCTTGTGGGCACTGTATTTTTTATTCATATAAAATACCATTATGCTGTGAATCAAAGTAAAAATAAAATGCAACCTATAAATTCTAAAATAATTTGTTAGAGTCATAATTGTATCTCATTAAGTTCTATCATGGAGGTGGAGTGATAGCACAGCCGTAGGGCATTTGCCTTGCATGCAGCCAATATGGCTGACCTGAGTTCGATTCCTCCGCCCCTCTCGAGAGCCCAGCAAGCTACTGAGAGTATCTCGCCTGCACGGCAGAGCCTGGCAAGCTACCCATGACGAATTCGATATGCCAAACACAGTAACAAGTGTCACAATGGAGACGTTACTGGGCCCGCTAGAGCAAGTTCTATCATTGATATTATAGTTTTCCTAGTAATTTGAATAAAAGTCGCAAGTCTAAAACTAGATAAATCTTGATGATTAAGTTCTATCTAAAATTACCTACCTATAACTGCATTTCAGAGCAACAGTTATACTTTTTCAGGCACATTTTATATTACTATTTTAGGTTTTGCTTGATTTGCTCAAGCGGGCCCAGTAACGTCTCCATTGGAGACTTTGTTGTTACTGGTTATCTGATATATGTAAGACTTTATTAATTTTCTATTTTGTGCCTTATGATTAGCTAAATATGTTTAAGTGACATTACTTTAAAAATGTAGGTGCTTTTTCAAAATTACTCATGTTTCTGAAAACCCTTTTTTCTGCAAAATTTACATTTAGAAGAACATGTTTTGGGGAATGGAAACAAACATTTAAAGGCTATGTAGCTTTGTAACCAGAGGCCTAATGAGTCATAATCAGTAGTTAGAGAAATAGAGTAATAGGTAGCTTTGTGTTCTTGTGGGTACTGTACAATGTAAATAGAAATTTATTTCTGAGACAGTTTGTTTTAGATAGAACACAAGAAACGGAACATTACACTTGCAAAGAATCTTAAGAGGCAAGGGATATGGCTCTTTGAGAAAATTAGCTCCTATTGTAAGTGCTCATTTTTTGTTTGTTTTTGGGCAGTGCTCGGGTCTTATTCCTGGCTCTGTACTCTGGATTACTTCTGGCAGGGCTCTGGGATTGAACTTGAGTAGCCTGTGTGCAAGAAAAGCAGAAAGCACCTTACCCTTCTGTTTTAGCTCCCTGGCCCTCAAGTGCTCGTTTTCAGTTACTAAAATGAACTGAAGAAACTCTTGCCTATGTAGCAGTCAAATTAAGGCAATTAATATTTCTGATAATTAAAAGTTCCATTTATGGTTTTTCTTTTTTGCCTTCACAGGAAGCATATTTTTAATGACTTCTCAAATTAAATGCAAGATGTTACTGAGCCGTTTTGTATTTTTAGCAAATTTCTTGGTTTATAATATTTTGTCAGTTACAAAACAGGGTATATTTAGCAAAAATTTATTTGTACAAAAATTGATGTGTACAATTAAAATCAACTTTTGGGGAATCTTGAAAAAATATACACCTATTCATGTTTCAGGTTAAAAATTCTCTAGATTTCTTTGATCTAGAGAGTAAAATTCAAACTTCTTGTTGTTTTTTTTTTTAACCTTTGGGATTTATTTATTTTTTTTTAATTAATGAAACACCATGAGGTACAGTTATAGACTTATAAATTTTTGTGCTTGGGTTTCAGTTATACAATGATCAAGTACCCATCCCTCCACCAATTCCCATCCTCCACCACCACGGGTCCCAGCATCCCTCCCCCTGCCAAACCGCCCCCCTGCCCCCCCCCGCGCCCCCCCGTCCCATCCTGCCTTTGTGGCAGGGCATTCCCTCTTGTTCTCTCTCTCTTCTTTTGTGTACTGTGTTTTGCAAGCGAGGCATTGAGTGGCAATCATGTTTGGTCTATAGACTACTTTTAGCATGCTTCTCCCACCCTGGGAGGGTCCTCACAACACCCTTTATTTGGTGCTCTCTTCTCTATCTGAGCTTCCTTTTCACCTAGCACGTGTGGCTGGCCTTCAAGTCATGGAGCAAAATTCCTGGTACTAATCTCAGCCATTCCTGGGTGTTAGTCTCCCTTTTTGTTGCTTTATGTTCCCCAGATGAATGCAATCTTTCTGTGTCTATCCCACTCTTTCTGACTCATTTCGCTTAACAGGATACTTTCCACATAGTACCACTTGTATGTAAATTTCATAACTTCATCTTTTCTAACAGCTACGTAGTACTCCATTGTGTAAATGTACCAAAGTTTCTTTAACCAGTCATCTGTTCTTGGGCACTCAGGTTTTTTCCAGATTCTGGCTATTGTAAAGAGTGCTGCAATGAACAAACAATTGCAGATGTCACTTCGACTATACCTTTTTGTCTCTCTGGGATATATTCCCCGAAGTGCTGTAGCTGGGTCAAATGGGAGATCAAATTATAATTTTTTGAGAATCATCCATACTGTTTTCCAAAAGGGTTGGACCAGCCGGCATTCCCACCAGCAGTGAAGGAGGGTCCCTTTCTCGCCACATCCGCGCCAGCACTGGTTGCTTTTGTTCTTGTGGATGTGGGCCAGTCTCTGTGGTGTGAAATGATATCTCATTGTTGTTTTGATCTGCATCTCTCTGATGATTAGTGATGTAGAGCATTTTCTCATGTGCCTTTTTGCCATTCGGATTTCTTCTTTAAGAAAGTTTCTGTTCATTTCCTTGCCCCATTTTTTGATGGGGTTGGGTGATTTCTTCTTGTCGAGTTCAACCAGTACCTTGTATATCCTTGATACCAACCCCTTGTCAGATGTGTATTTGGTGAATATCCTTTCCCATTCTGTAGGCTGTCTTTGTATTTTGGTCACTGTTTCTTTTGAGGTGCAGAAGCTTCTTAGTTTAAGATAGTCCCATTTGTCTATCTCTGTTTTCACTTGCTCGGCCAGTGGCGTGACATCTTTGAAGATACCATTAGCTTCAATATCATGGAGAGTTTTGCCAACTTTGTCTTCAGTAAACATTATGGATTCCGGTCTGATGTTGAGGTCATAGATCCATTTCAATCTTACTTTTGTGCATGGCGTTAGGCAGAGATCTGAGCCCACTTTTTTGCATGTAGCCGTCCAGTTTTGCCAGCACAGTTTATTAAAGAGGCTTTCCCTGCTCCATTTCGCTTTTCTTGCCCCCTTATCGAAGATTAGATGATCATATGCTTGGGAGGAGATGTCAGTATATTCAACTCTATGCCATTGGTTTGCAGCTCTGCCTTTGTTCCAGTATCATGCTGTTTTAATTATTACTGCTTTGTAGTAGAGCTTGAAGTTAGATAGGTTGATTCCTCCCATTTTCTTTTTCCCAAGAATTGCTTTAGCTATTTGTGGGGGCTTATTGGTCCATATAAATTTCAGGAGTGTCAAACTTCTTGTTTTATGAGGCTTTTTAATAATGATATGATCTCTTCTTGTTTTTTCATCCTGTTTATCATTTAACCTTTTATGCTAATTTATAATAATTTGTCCTAAAAGAGATACATTTTTAAGTTCCATGCTTAGGGGATATTTCTAGCTCTGCACTCAGGAATTACTCCTGATAGTGGTCAGGGGGCTCTCAGTGTGTGGGATGCTAGGAGTTGCCCAGGATCACCATGTACAAGACAAGCACCTTACCTGCTATACAATCACTCTGACCCCTCTTTCATTGATTTTAAAACAGGGCTTTTCTTTAACCACTTATATGTAGGCATTTTCATGCATATTTCACAGTCCTCTGTCCTCAGGGGATCAACAATAGAGTTCTTCTGTAGTAATTTGTTGAAACTATATATGTAATAATTAGTTGCACTTTTGATTATATCTTTTAATACGTTTTACACTCCTAGTTGTCTTCATCTCTGCTATTTACCCAGACAGGCATGGTGCATTGTGACACAGCAGTTGGAACACCTGATTATATATCACCCGAGGTTCTGAAATCACAAGGAGGTGATGGTTGCTATGGACGGGAGTGTGATTGGTGGTCTGTGGGTGTTTTCCTTTTTGAAATGTTGGTGGGTAAGTAAATTGTTTAACTAAACTACTTTTAAACTACTTACTAGTTTAAAAAAAAACCTATCTCAACACTTTGAATTCGAAGTTAAGAATTTGGAAGTATGCATTCCCTAGGCCCATAGTTTGATCCTCAGTGCCATGTTGCTAGTGCCCCACACTGCTCCCACAACCATCCCTGTCCCCCAGTGTTTTGGGGTGTGACCCTGGTGACCCCAGCACTGGCCCAGCAGTCTCTCGTGCTTACTAGCTGTAACATTAGTATATGACTGTCAGACCCGGTACAGCCAGACCAAGCATTTCTAAGAATTGCTCCTGGGCTCCTAGTCACCACCCCCAGCTGGCACTAGAAAATCTTGAATTCAACCCCATGCTCCCCTGACTTTCTTTTGCAAACAAACAAGAGCGAATTACCTGAATACCTGTCCTGGATTTTGGGGTTGACACACTTTATAATTGAGATGTACTGGCAGAGCCTATAACTCTCATTGGAATTTAATCTTTCAGTCCTTCAAAGCCAAACTGGTGTTTTCAGCTTTTTTTCTGTCTCCTTTCTTTGTCTTTAACATAGTCATTCGTTAAGCAGGAATACTACATTGGGAGAATGTTTTCAACTCTATTTATATGTCATCTTAGGCAAGTTGTGTTTCATCCAGCTGGAGCTGGCCTATTCATATGTAAAATCATATGACTGGTGTCTTATAGCTGAATTGTCCAGTCTGTCATATTAAAAATTGCTTTATGTGCTCTGCTCAGTATGGTTGGCACTAGTCATACCCAGTGTTTGAAATGCAGGGTAGTGCGTCACTGGGGAACAGAATTTTTTTTTTTTTTTGCCTTTTTGGGTCACACCCAGCAATGCTCAGGGGTCACTCCTGACTCTGCACTCAGGAATACTCCTGGCAGTGCTTGGGGAACCATATGGGATGCCGGGAACTGAACCTGGATCGGCCGCGTGCAAGGCAAACGCCCTACCCGCTGTGCTATCACTCCGTTCCCGGGAACAGAATTTTTAATAGAGTCAATTTTTTTAACTTTAAGGTGTCTCATATAGCTAGTGACTAACACACTTACAGAATAACCTCAGCCCAATAACTTAATCAGTGTTAATTGATCCAGCTCTAAGTGTTAGAGGACTATAATCTGATTCTTTTGTTTCATCTTTTTTTTTTCTGAGTCAATTTTTTATTTTATTTTTTTGCTTTTTGGGTCACACCCGGCATTGCACAGGGATTACTCCTGGCTCTGCACTCAGAAATTACTCCTGGTGGTGCTTAGGGGACCATATGGGATGCTGGGAATCAAACCTGGGTTGGCCGCATGCAAGGCAAATGCCCTACCCGCTCTGCTATCACTCCAGCCCCTCTGAGTCAATTTTTAAGTAGTCTTTTTCTTTAATTCTTCATAAATTTTTTTTTCCCCTGATGGTAAAAAGAACTCAACAAAATTTTGGAATTATCATTGATTTTCTTTCCTCAGAAAGGTTCAGTGATAAGATTAAAATTTAAATATATTCTTGGTGTGTGCCTGTATGTTTTGACTGAAACTCCTGACCCATGGATTCTTCCATGCATGTGACAAACTTAAATTTAACGTGTTTAAATATTAGGTGAAAAGCATTTGATATGCATTATTTAATACATTGCGTATCTTCTTGCAATTTTAGGAGATACTCCATTTTATGCTGATTCACTTGTAGGAACATACAGCAAAATTATGGATCATAAAAACTCATTATCTTTCCCTGAAGATGCAGAAATTTCTAAACATGCCAAGAATCTCATCTGTGCCTTCTTAACAGACAGGTAATATATATTAGATTTCTTTGCAGAGTTTTTTAACTTTTAAGTATGTAGAAATAAAAGTATATCTAACTCTTATTTGCATATAAAGTCAATCTCTGTCCAGGTTGCTTTTAATTCTGGGTTAGCCATTTCTAAATGCTAAGCCTGGGATTATGTTAGTCTCCTCATTTTGTCTAATTGTGATCAATTCCAATTTTAATCCGCATGTCTTTAAAAAAAATTTAAAAAAACCCCAAGAATTTGGTAAAATAATAATACATATGAAATAAGTATTTGTGATATTTTTGTATTCTGTTAAAAGGATCAGCATGTAAGAGAGTATTCTTTTATGCGGTCCAGTCTGTGTCAAGCCCTGAAATGTTATCACTCCTCAGTAGGCCTCGGTGTTTCTGGTAGTGATAAGTGGTACTGCAGTGATTACTCACATTCATCTCTGCATACTTTTTGTGGATAAAATCTCAAATGTAGTATTTGGAGTGATAGCACAGCGGGTAGGGTGTTTGCCTTGCACGCCGCCAACATGGCCAACCTGAGTTCAATTCCTCCGCCCCTCTCAGAGAGCCTGGTAAGCTACCGAGAGTATCTCGCCCGCATGGCAGAGCCTGGCAAGCTACCGAGAGTATCTCGCCCGCACGGCAGAGCCTGGCAAGCTACCCGTGATGTATTCGATATGCCAAACACAGTAACAACAAAGTCTCCAATGGAGACGTTACTGGGCCCGCTCGAGCAAATCGATGAACAACGGGAGGAAAGTGATTATCGTGATTATCAGAATTTGGAGAGAAGATACAGTTGGATGTATTTTCATTATCAATTGTTTCTCTCATCCTCATGAAACAATATAACGAATGTTTTAATTTTTCTATTTGAGACAAGGGTAGTTATTTTTCACTTTTCACTAGAAAGGTTAATCATGTTTATGTTTGCTAATTTAAATTTTGGTTTTACAATTAAACAGTATACCTGATAAACTGATAAAAATAAATTCTGTGTAACATTTGATCTAGTGGCTAGCTGAGGCTGATGTAGATGGCCAATTTATAAAATGTAAGACAGGATACAGCATATATTATAGTATACAGGTTTCAGACTGGAGGGGTAAGGCACTTACTTGCCTTTTGTGCAGCTCACCTGGGTTTGATCCCTACTGCACCCCCAGGGGACATTTCTGAGCACAGAGCCAGCCAGGAGTATCAGAAGGTAACCCTCCACCCCCAAAAGTCATTAAAAGCTAATTGTATTAAATATGTTATACATAAAATATATAATAAATTATATGTATTGAAGTTAGTATATTTATATTGATATCATATTGATACTTTCTTTTTTATATTGAACTAGATAGACACAGTGATCATTTCTGTGCCACTGTCATGAAAGATTCAAAAGGGTTAAAGAAATCGGTAGTTATGTTTTTGTGTCTTCAGAATAATTTTTTTTTTAATTTAATATAAGGGGTTGGAGAGGTAGTACAACCAATAGGACACTTGCCCTGCACGTTGCTGACCCAGGTCCAGTCCTTGGCACCACATATGGTCCCTAAAGTCCTGAGCACCATTCGATGTGATCCAAACTTTTCTTCCAAATTTTTAACGCATGTGCGTGCGCGCGTGCGTGCGCGCGTGCGTGCGCGCGCGCAGACACACACACACACACACACACACACACACACACACAAAGAGTAAATCTAGACAGCTTCAACTGTAATATGTGAATTACATTTAAGACTAGAAGAAAAATTTAAACCTAAAAATTTTAGATCTCTGCTTACAGAGATCTTTGATGATCTTCTCTGTCTAAAGTCAGTCTTTGTCCATTTTATATCCTGAATACTAGTCATGTGGTTTTGGCACATGCAGGTGAATTTTTTGTTTGATTTTGTTTTTTGTTTTGGGGCCATATCTGCTAATGTGCGAGCAGTTTACCCTCTGTACTATCTTTCCAGCTTTTGAAATTTTTTATTTTTAACTCTCATGTACAGTTTTGCTTGATAGAAGTACAGATGGAAAGGCATTTTCTGTGGTTTTGCTATATATTGTGGCCTTTGGAACTTTTTTGTTTGGTTTTGTTTTGGGGACATACCCAGCAGTGCTCAGGGCTTTCTCCTGGCTCTGCACTCAGTCATCTCTCTTGGCTGGGCTTGAGGGACCATATGGAGTGCCGGGAATCGAACACAGATAGGTCATGTACAAGGCAAGTGTCCTGCCTGATGTGTACTGTGTTCTGGTCCCTCCCATTATTTTGTTTTGTGTTTTTGCTCTTGGGCCATATCCAGCAGTGCTCACAGCTTCTGCCTCTGTGCACTTAGGGATCACTCCTTGCTAGGCCCAGGGACCATTTATTTTGCCAGGATCAAACCTACATATCCCGTGTGCAAAGCAGATACCTTAGCTGTTGTATTACCACTCTGACCCCGCAGTCTTTGCAGTTTATCTCGAGACTGTTTATTGTAAAATTGAGATTGTTTATTTTTGAGAAATATTAAATCATTTCATACAGGTATTGCAAACTCATTTGTGGTTCCTTATTTTGTTCCTTGTGGAGATAATACAATCTTTATATTGTTTAGGGAGGTGCGACTTGGGAGAAATGGGGTAGAAGAAATCAAACTACATCCTTTCTTTAAGAATGATCAATGGAATTGGGATAACATAAGAGAGAGTAAGTCAATAAATGCAAGTATTTCCATTCAACACACTTTACATCTTACAAACTGATTCCTCATTTGAGTTAAAATCTTATTTAATACACTTAGTGCTAACTAGTTCATAAATTAAGATTTTTCTAAAATGTGCCAACATTCGTAACTAAATATATCAGTGCCATAGCAAGTCAGTGTGTATTTTCACAGTATTTTTCAATTCTTTTATGTTATATATTTATCATGTTTATTGATCTCAGTGGTCTTCAGAATGGAAAAATTCAATATTTTTGTTTGAATTGCTAATAATTTAAAGAGACCATACATGGGCATAAACATTTAACTTTAACATTTATTCGATATTAGATTTAAGAATAAGAACTATTTTTGCTTTAGGCCTGTAGGGGCCAGAAAAGATACCTGTCCTGGGTTGGATGTCCAGCACTGAACGGTCCTCCAATCATAGTGCCAGTAGTAGTCCCCAGTATCACTAAGTGTGGCCCCAGAAACAAAACAAAACAAAATAAAAAAACCCAAACTATAAAAGCTAAAGAATGTAGGTGAAATTTATTGCTAATTGTAATGCCTTAAATACAAACTGATCAGATGTAATAAATTCTTATAAAAAACTCCTTGGCAGTTACATGACAGTTTTTGATTACTATAATAAAATTTTTATTACTATATAATCATTGATTTTAAAACAAGATGTCGTCATAAAACAGGATATTTTGATTATGAATGACAATTCACTTTTTGTGTTTTTTAATAGCGGCAGCTCCTGTGGTACCTGAACTCAGCAGTGACATAGACAGCAGCAATTTTGATGACATTGAAGATGATAAAGGAGATGTAGAAACCTTTCCAATTCCTAAAGCTTTTGTGGGAAATCAACTGCCTTTTATTGGATTTACCTACTATAGAGAAAATTTGTATGTAATTTTTCTGCTATATTTCTCTTACTTTAGAATATAGAAATGCCCTGCTTCAAGACCCTGGGTTGTGGAAAATTGGTGTATTCATCTTTGCCCTTTTGCAAAAGTACTGTCAAAAGAAGTTTTTTTTTTTTTTATATGAGTTTATTTCTGGATGGTTGATGACATTCAGCTGCAAATTAAGAATGAAAGACTGTGTTCAGTATTCTTGTGGGGAGTATAGACTAAAACCAAAAATAAAAAACTCGACAAAACTCTGTCTTTTGAAGGAGTTTGTAGATAATGAGATAATGAAGGTTACAGGGTAGTGTAGAATATAATATTTGCCTTAAAAGGTATTTGAAATCTGAGATGACTCAGAAGAAAAATTAGTCACACTTGTTTAGGATGAGGGGAGGGAGAAGTCAAATAAGAGCTCCAGGGAGGGGCTGGAGCAATAGCACAGTGGGTAGGGCGTTTGCCTTGTACACGGTCAACCCAGGTTCGATTCCCAGCATCCCATGTGCTGAGCACCACCAGAGGTGATTCCTGAGTGCAGAGCCAGGAGTAACCCCTGTGCATCGCCAGGCGTGACCCAGAAAGCAAAAAAAAAAAAACCCTCCAGGAAGAATTGGCATTTTATCCCACTTTAAAGGTATGACGTTTTTAGTAATCAAGAGGTAGGGAGGTTATTGCGAGTTGTAGGGAAGGGTGGATGCAAAAGTTTGGAATTTGAGTATATATAGCACAGCAGGTAGGACATTTGCCTTGCACGCGGCCAACCTGGCCGACCCGAGTTTGACTCTTCCACCCTCTTGGAAAGTCCGTCAAGCTACCCATGACATATTCGATGTGCCAAACAGTGACAAGTCTCACAATGGAGGTGTTACTGGGCCCGCACAAGTAAATCGATGAACAATGGGAGGACAGTGACAGTATATATAGGTAATAGTATAGGTTGGTATGGCTCAAGCATAAAGTATGTCATTTGACCATTTAGAGGACTTGATGGGACTAATGTTTTGCTTGTAAGTCATCCATCTGCCCAGAACTTGACACAAGATCATTCAATAAAAATTAGTCTGTCAGAGTGAGTTGTAATTGTAGAAATAGAAAATAAATTGGAATTGGATGTTAGAAGTATAATGCAGTAGATGATGTTTGTGTGCAGAGCTTGAGGGATTTTTTATTTTGATGGACAGTGGAAAGCCATTGAAAACTTAAATAGTTAAACATTAAGAGAAATTGAAAAGCTTGGCCCATTAGTACATGTAATGATGAGTAACCAATCACCATGGCTTTTGTTTAGAATTGTAGGCGTTTTCTAGGATATGGCATAAGCGCTCATGCTAAACTGGGAAATTCTCCCGCAAACAAGAATGAGTTGGTCACCTGCTAACAATTGTATTGCTAACTAAAATGAAAGTTGGTACAAGGAAAACCTAAGCATGCTTATAGGCAGTAAGGAAGGGCCCACTTAAGAGAGACCAAAAAAGAAAAAGTGAAAATGTATATATTATGTCCTAGCAGTCAAGAGATGTCATATTTGAAAAGGATTTAAAAAGGAGAGAAGTCTTTCTAGAAGATTTCTTGAAAAGATGAATAAAGTTGTTATAGAAACTAAAAATGAGATGAACGAACTAAAAACGAAAGAAAGAAAGGTTTTTTTAAAATTAATTTTATTGAATCACCGTGAGATAGTTTTAAGCTTTCATGTTTGGTTTACAATCACACAATGATCAAATACCCATCCCTCCACCTGTGCACATTCCCCACCACCAATATCCCCGGTATAACCCCCCTTTCCCACCCTCCCTCTGCCTCCATGGCAGATATGATTCCCCATAATCTCTCTCTACTTTTGGGCATTATGGTTTGCAATACAGACCTTGAGAGGTTATCATGTTTGGTCCTTTATCTACTTTCTGCACACATCTCCCATCCCGACCGATTCCTCCAGCCATCTTTTTTTTTTTTCCCCCTTTTTTCTTTTTAATTTTTAATAGTGAGACATCATGAGGTACAGTTGTAGACTTACAAATTTTTGTGCTTGGGTTTCAATTATACAATGATCAAATACCCATCCCTCCACCAGTGCCCATTTCCCACCACTATGGTTCCCAGTACCAGTATCCCTCCCACCCCCAGCCCCCCATCCCACCCTGCCTCTGTGGCAGGGCATTCCCTTTTGTTCTCTCTCTCTTTGCAAACCACAACACTCAATAAGAGAGAACAGCCATCTTTTTCTTAGTGATCCCTTCTCTATTCCAGCTGCCCTCTCCCCTTTGCTCATGAGGCAGGCTTCCAGCTATGGAATAATCTATCTGTCCTGTGTATCTACTGTCCTTAGGAGTTAGCTTTTTTTTTTTTTCTTTTTGGGTCATACCTGGTGATGCACAGGGGTTACTCCTGGCTCATGCACTCAGGAATTACTCCTGGCAGTACTCAGGGGACCATATGGGATGCTGGGAATTGAACCCAGGTGGGGCACATGCAAGGCAAATGCCCTACCCGCTGTGCTATCACTCCAGCCCCATGAAAGGAAGAAGTTTAACTCCACTTAATGACTCCAGTCTCAACAATGTTGAAAATTTAAAGCATGCTTAAGAGCAAGAGGCAAGAAAAGATTAGCATTTTGAATTATTGAAAGTAGTATAAATGCGGGTTGGAGTGATAGTGGGAAGGACGTTTGCCTTGCAGGCGCTGACATGGCCGATCTGAGTTTGATTCGTCCGCCCCTCTCGGAGAGCCTCCTAAGCTACTGAGAGTCTCTCACCTGCACGGCAATGCCTGGCAAACTACCCGTGACATATTCGATATGCCAAACGCAGTAACAACAAGTCTCACAGTGTTACTGGGCCCGCTTGAGGAAATTGATGAACAACGGGAGCACAGTGACAGTGATAGTATGAATGTCAAGAGGAGAAAGCAATGCTTCCTTTAAAATATGTTGAAATGAAAACAGAAATATTTGTAAATAAAATTTGATTATGAGAGTGACTTGATATTAGAAGAGGGATTAAAGTGACGTGCAAGATAATTTTATGTACTAATTTTCCTCTAGGTTATTAAGTGATTCACCATCTTGTAGAGAAAATGATACGATACAATCAAGAAAAAATGAAGTATGTATATACATTTGTTGCATGTTAGAATGTTTTAATAATATCCATGTATTTCAAGTTGATAATGCAATTAACGTTTATTATTTTTAGTTCAACAAAACATTGAGATGATATATTTATTTGACAGGTGTTATCTTAATACCTAGTGTAAAAGTTGAATCTTAGATGACTTTAGGCCTAATTTTAATGCCTAAAATAATGTAATTGGGTAAGGGGGGAGGTAGCAGAACAGACTAGAGTCCATCCATGCTTTGCATGTGGGAACCTCAGGTTCAGTTTTCTGTACCACGTTGTATCTGAATACCAATAGGTATAACCCCACCCCCTTCTCCCTTACTCCCTGCAAAAAAAAATCTTGATGAAAAATAAAAGTGATGGGACTGGAGTAGTAGTACAGTAGGTACGGCACTTTGTACGCAGTTGATTCAGGTTCAATTCCCAGCACCCCAAGTGGTTCGCCTAGCCCAATCCTTAAGCTCAGAGCCAGGAGTAAGCTCTGTGCACTGCTGGGGTGTGACCCAAAAAACCAAAAATAACTGTTGCAAGATAAAAGTGATATAGCTTTGTTAACAACTGCAATGCCAGTTAGACCATTTGTAATCTATAGTACACTTTTTAAAAAGTAAAATTATATGAAAGGGTATAGGCAAAAAGCTAAGGGTGCAAAAATAGTGCAGAGGTTCAAGTGTGAAAATTCAGGAAAGAATTTATATAAAGGACAATTTTATCAGTTATGGTATTTTATGATCTATATATAATTTGTGATTGCATATAAACCTAGATCATAAATATGCATGCATGTACATATAAGTGATCATGCTAAACATTTTTCTTTTTAAAAGTTAGAAAAACTTATGATTTGGTCATATATATTTGGTATGATTTATGTTTCAAGAATTTGTATAAAGCACAGCAAGCATTTTAATATATTTCTTTTTTTTTAAACAGGAAAGTCAAGAGGTATGTTGGTGTGAAACAGAAAAATTCATCGCTCTAGCAATGTTTTGATATATACAAAATCCACCTAGTCCCTGGAGTATTACATCTACCCTAGTGAAGTTACTGGCTTTTTTTCTGTCAAGTATCCCTTTTATTATTGCTCCCACTGATCTTTTTTAAAATACGTATTCTATAATTTTCTTTTTATATATTAGAAATATGTAACTTACAGCAAGAATTCCTGAATGGCTCTTGATAATTAATGTGATTGTGTTATGCTAAAAGAAGCCGAAGGTAGTTAAACTTAACTTGTTCATTGGCCAGTATGTTCTTATTGGGGAGAAATAGTTTTGCTTAAGATACATGAAATATGTGTGTGTGTGTGTGTGTGTGTGTGTAACAACAACAACAACATGGAGGGAACCTAATCACTAGAAAGCCTAGAAGAAAGAACATTTGTATTGGAGTATAATATATTTTTGTTGAGTTAGCAGTGGCATTTTGGCCATGCTTTTTTTTGAATCACCATGAGATACAGAGTTACAAAGCTGTTCATGGGGGGGGTTTCAGTCATACAGTGTTCCAGTAAAGCTATGCTTTATTAACCCAGTTATTAAACTTCTGGATTTCAGTTGGCTAATATGGTGTAACACTACCATCTTCTTAATATTTTTGTTAATTTTATGAATAGAAGGCACAAAATGTACAATGGAACCTTAAAAATTAGATTCTTGGGGCTGTAGCGATAGCACAGCGGGTAGGGCGTTTGCCTTTCACGTGCCCAACCCGGGTTTGATTCCCAGCATCACATATGGTCCTGAGCACTGCCAGGAGTAATTCCTGAGTTCACAGCCAGGAGTAACTCCTGTGCATTGCCGGGTGTGACCCCCCCCCCATAAAAGAAAAAGTTCTTTGGGGCCAGAAAGATAGAACAGCGGATAGTGTGCTTGCCTTGCGCGCAACTTCAGTCCCTGGTACCATATATGGTTCCCCAAGACTTGCCAGGAGTGATAGCAGGCAGAACCAGGAGTAAGCCTGGAGCCCCACCTGGTGTAGTCCCAGAAACCAATAGCTGTTTCATTTATCTAAATGAGACATAGCTCTTCATTTATAACTCTTCAAAGTACAATGTCTGGCACTAGCACTGTTGCACTGTCCTTCCATGTTCATGGATTTGTTTGAGCGGGCACCAGTAACGTCTCCATTGTGAGACTTGTTACTGCTTTTGGCATATTGAATATGTCACGAATAGTTTGCCAGGCTTTGCCGTGTGGGCGCGATACTCTCGGTAGCTTGCCAGGCCCTCTGAGAGGGGCGGACGAATCAAACCCAGGCCAGCAGGGTTGGCTACATACAAGGCAAACACCCTACCCACTGTACTGTCGCTGCAGTCCATGAAAAAGAGGTTATATTCTTACATGTTAAGATCAGATTATTTATTTCTTTTATAATGAATGTGAAATGTCCTGTCCTAGAACAATTCTAAAAAGATTAGAGCCTTCCATTAATTTAGTTTGTGTGGTGTGTTCTTACTTACTTTTTGGTATATGTGTTAGCAAGAGATGATTTTTTTTCTCCCCTCTGTTCACAGGAATATATTAAGAAAGTACACAGTATCGGCCATTTTATGATAGTATATCGAAAGAGAAAGAGAAATTTTTCATGGTTTTTGCTATTCCTTGATTTTTATTTTTTTCTTTTTGGGTCACACCTGGCAATGCTCAGGGGTTACTCCTGGCTTTGCACTCAGGAATCACTCCTAGCAGTGCTCAGGGGACCATATGGGATGCTGGGAATCGAAACCGGGTTGGCCGTGTGCAAGGCAAACGCCCTACCCGCTATGCTATCACTCCAGCCCTGATTTTTGTTTAATTTTAAAGATCTTATTATTGAGTCACTGTGAGATAGATCTTTACAAAGCTGTTCATGATTTACAAAGTGTTCAACACCCATCCCTCTACCGTTGTACATTTCCCAACACTAGTGTCCCCAGTTTGTCTCCCATCACCTTCCCTTCTATTCTTTCAAATGTTATCAGATTTCTAATTATAGTTCCTTTTTTTTTGACAGATTCAGAAAAAACTCTATACATTAGAAGAGCACCTTAGCACTGAAATGCAAGCCAAAGAAGAACTAGAGCAGAAGTGCAAGTATGTAGATAATGAAATATATAGAGATCTTTAACCCCTTATTTAAAGAAAATTACAAAGTGATTATATAATTTTAAAATTTATAGTGTTTCTATTGTAAATTAGAATTATATTTTATTTATTGTCTCTTGATGTTTTTAGATCTGTTAATATTCGCTTAGAGAAAGTATCAAAGGAGCTAGAAGAAGAGGTAAAGTTTTTCTATACTTTTATCAGCGTTTTTGTTTGTAAAATAATTTGTGCTGTGCTCAAGGATGTGGTGCATTGATGCAGCAGTTATCTTGTGTGAGAGGCCCTGAGTTCAATTCCTGACACTGCATGGTCCCCTGAGCTCCATCAAGAATGACCTCTGAGGACTGAGTTTCATAGTAGCCCCCAAGAACTGCCAGTTTTGTTGGCCCAAACAATAATTGTTTTACCTGTAGGGTTCTCTTACTACTAGATTAATAAGTATCTTTATTTAGGGCAAAACTTATAGCATTGATGGATAAGACTACAATTACAGGATAACTAGGAAAGTGAACTTCATTTATTTTTTTTTCATGTGTATTTGTTTTGGTTTGGGGCCACACCAGGTGGTGCTTAGGGCTTACTCCTGGTTCTGTGCTCAAGACCTGCTCCTTTCAACAGGAGACCATAAGCAGTATGGCCAACTAAGGTTGGCCACTAACAAGGCAAGCACTTTACTGCCTGTATTATCTCTTTAGCCCCAATAGGCTTCATTTTGTATGTTTTGCAAGCAAGTTAATTTAGTATATGTTCCAAATAGAAAAATGACATTTGAGACTGGGGAAACAGTTTAAAGAGCTAGAGCCCTTGTGTGGCATATACGTGATATTGAATGAGATACCCAGAGCACTGCCTGGTTTCCCACATGCCCTCAGGAATAGCCTTGGTGGCCTTTGCCACCATTATGCCTGAGCAGTATTGCAGGCTGGCCAGTTATTCGACTGTGCTGTTGGGGAGAGGCCCAGAAAATTTATGTTTGTGTTAACATGGCTTAAAAATAGAACACTTGGTTGGTTGATTTGTTTGTTTGTTTTTAGATAGCTGTTCATAACATCTTAAACCTATTGTTTGTGTTAACCAAGTATGTCTTTGTTAATGGAAAGTTAGAGAAAGTTTGACTTGATAGTAGGCAAAACACTTATGATTTTGATTTTTTTTTTAAGAGCATGTGCTATTTGGGGTCTAGGGATGTAGCGAAGTGGTAGATCACTAGCCTTGCATAATTGAAGTGGTAGGTGCAGTCTCTGGCACCACTGAAAAAAAAAGTATGTGCTATTTTTGTTTTTTGCCTGTTTGTTTCTGGGTCATACTTGGCAATGCTGAGGGCTTACTCCTGGCTCTTTGCTCAGGAATCACTTAGGTAGAACTCAGAGGACCATCTGGGCACTGGGGCACTCAGGGATCATTCCTTTTGGTACTCAGGGAACCATATTGAATGCTGGAGATTGAACCTGGTTCAGTCGCATGGAAGGCAGTCTCTCTACTCACAGTTCTGTCTCTCCACCCCATTATTGCAATTTTAACACAGCAGCAATTAGAGCATTTTTTAAGAAAATTTTTAAAATTTGCTTAAAATAACTGCTATTTTTAATTTTTATTTTTATATACACTTTCCTTTGTATAACTTAACCATTATTTCAGGTTACCTTAAGGAAAAATGTGGAATCAGCATTAAGGCAATTAGAAAGAGAAAAAGCACTTCTTCAGCACAAAAATGCAGAATATCAACGGAAAGCAGATCATGAAGCAGACAAGAAACGGAATTTGGAAAATGATGGTTCGTGATGTGGAATATTTAATACTTAGAAAAACTTTACATGTACATTTTATGTTGAAACTGAATTGCTTTTTTTAAAAATCGTAGTTAACAGTTTAAAAGATCAACTTGAAGATTTGAAAAAAAGAAACCAGAACTCTCAAATATCCTCTGAGAAAGTGAATCAACTCCAGAGACAAGTAAGTTGATTCTTGTTTACAATAAGGATACCTAATCTTATTTATAACTTTTAATATTAATTGGCAGTGGTACAGAAAAGTTTTGCCTGTAATATTAGAGGGAAATCCTTAGGAAATTATTTTGGGCTTTTACTTATATTATTTATTATGGGTAATAAATTAAAATATTTTCATTATATAGACCTGTTTTTAATTTTTTTTTCTTTGAATGGAATAATAGCTGGATGAAACTAATGCTTTGCTGAGAGCAGAATCTGATACTGCAGCTCGATTAAGAAAAACCCAGGCAGAAAGTTCAAAGCAAATTCAGCAGTTGGAATCTAACAATAGAGATCTACAAGATAAAAATTGCCTTTTGGAGACTGCCAAGTTAAAGCTTGAAAAAGACTTTATCAATCTTCAGTCAGTTCTAGAATCTGAAAGGAGGGACCGAACCCATGGATCAGAAATAATTAATGATTTACAAGGTATCAAAATATAAATTACTCTTAAATTTATCCTTATGATTTGTAATTTGGAGATAGTGTAAATGGATAATAAGATGAACATGGGCAATTCTGATTTTGCTATTCTGTTCTAGAAACCATATTAGAAATTCATTGACTTACAGTTTTGGAAATGAAAAATAGGTTTTCAAATAATAGAAAGTATTTTTTTTTAAATTTTTATTAGTGAATCACTGTGGGGTACAATTACAGACTTACAAACTTTCGTGCTTGCATTTTAGTCATACAATGATCGAGTACCAATCCCTCTAACAGTGCCCATTCTCCACCACCAATGATCCCAGTATCCCTCCCACCACCCCCGCCCCACAAATAGTAGAAAGTATTTTAAGTATTGTAAGTACTGTTCACTTTTTCAGTGACAGACTGGGTTCCAGTTCACTAAAGTTTCCTACCAATAATTATAAAACTTTGGTCATAAATAATAGCTTCAGCATATATATATAATGTTTCCCAATCTTTTGAGCATCTTTTAAAATTATTTTTATTGAGGTAATGTTTAATAAGATATGTTTTAGTTGTATAGTTTTACATTTCCAATTTTTCATTCCTGATTTAATATATATATTTTATGGTCTTTCTGGCTTTTTGTTTTTAATGTTGCAATTTTAGGTCGATTATCTGGCCTAGAAGAAGATGTGAAGAATGGCAAAATCTTGTTAGCAAAAGTAGAGATAGAAAAGAGACAGCTACAGGAGAGATTTACTGATTTGGAGAAGGTAAACATATTCATCTTTGTGTTTATGTTAAGCAAAACGTAGACTTTCTCATGGGAAAGCTTATTCTGAAACATGGGAAATGAGTTCCTGAGATATTTTTGTATACTCATGGTCTGATATTTATATTTTATGGTATAAACTAGATAGTCATGTATATTTTAAAGCTTATCATGACACTATGAAGCAGCCTTCAGATTATTAGATGCTTATGAAAGAAGATAACCATCTTGGATTAAGTATAATGAGTATGCTTCTCAAGGAATCCAAGGTAACTCAAATCTTGACATGCTTTAAAAATTACATAAAGTTAGCTTAGGGGAGACAGCTTAAAGGGCTGAAGGCTGAAGTGCGTGTTTTGCATGCTGAAGTCCTGGGTACGATCCTCTGGCGTTGAACGGTCTCCAAGCAACCTGGGAACGACCCCCAACCACTGAACTTGGAGTAGCCTAAACACAAAAATATTACATAAAGTTAGGATTTTAAAAAAAAGTTATTATTACTTGCATAAAGTTATTATGATAGTTTTTCTTCAAAAAGTATAAGGCAAGCTAGTGAGCATACTTTGCATACAGGAGTCCCGCCTTTAGTCCCTTGGATCACATGATTCCCAAAGCATCACTGAGAGTAACCCCCATGTACCAACAGGGTGACCACTCACTCGTGCTCAAAAAAAATTGTATATCAGTGATGACATCTAGTCTCTATGAAGTTAATATTTTATTTTTGTATTTAAATACTAATACTGTTTTCTATAGAAATAAGAGGATGCAGTCTTTGTGTTTAGCAATCTCGCAATCTGTCAGATAATTTTTAAAGTAATAATAAATCACAGATAATTATAACGCACTGTGATAAACACAGAATGATATCCGTATGGTCAGAGCGTCTTGCATATAACTGAATGAATTTAGGACAGGATTAATTGGTGGGGTAAAGGGACTTCTGAGCTTCTCAACTGTCATATGAGAAATGCACATCAGATAGGAATTTATGAAGCAAAATCTCTTGAAATATGAACAGTTAAATATTTCTGGAGTATAGAACAGAGGTAATAGAGTTTTAATATTTAAGGAAATACAATGAATATTTAGTATGGCAGGTCATATTGCTTCTGTTGCAGTAACCCACTTCTGCTGTAATATATCAATAGGCCATAATTGGCCCGTAGACCATCATAGTCCTTATGTTGTAGGACAAGGAATTCAGTGATTGAAATTCGGGTACAGAGCTTGTCCTGAGGTAACTAAGGAAAGGTTGTCATTGCTCTGTGAAGAAACATTTTTCGTTTCTTGATCCATCTAGGAAACATAGTAGGATAGCCACGGAATGCCTTAGAATTGGATGATCTTTTTGGAGGTTCATTTAAAATAGATGGCTTGGCACTATGTAGAGAATTAATTGAGGAAAAGAGGCAGAAAGACTTATCAGAGACTTCTTCAGTAAATCTGCATATACAGTTCAGTAGTTACAAGGATAAAAAGAGGACTGAGTCAGGAATATTTGAGGGAGAAATATTCTAGGTTCCTATGTTGTGATAAGAAATATCATTACTAGTAAAAATTAAGTGAAAAATAACTCTCCCCAAGGAATAAATACATTGTTAGATCCATTTGAGCGCTCATGTTTGAGGTGCCTTTGAAGTTGTAAATTAGGATGTGTACAAAGCAGTAAATTGTGATAACAGAAGTTAGAAATAATTGAGAATTATCAGTGCAGATGTATCTGAAATCGCACGAGTAAAGGAGCACATCTGGAAAGAGATTGTTTAGAGAGGTAGAAGTTTTTAAGGGCAGAATAAACTACACTGTTGGTGGATTGTATGTTTCAAAGGAAATAATTTTCCATTTTATTCAGAAAATAAGAAATACCTTTACTTGTGATATAAACTATAGGAAATAATTAAAGAATCTTTTGAGCTATACAGAAAATTTACTTATTAAAATGGACTCATTATTAAAGATTTTTTCGTTTTGGGGCAACACCCAGCAGTGCTCAGGGATTAGTCCTGACTCTGCTCAGGGATCACTCCAGGAAGAAAAGGGACCACAGGGGTTGCGGGGTTGTTAACCCAGGTCAACGCATGCAAAGCAAGCATCTAGACTGCTGTACTGTCTCTCTGGCTCCTATTAAAGATTCTAAACTTGAAATAGTTCCCCTATATGGGGTATAAAAATAAAGGATTTGGGAGGCTGGAAAGATCAAACAGTGGCTTGCCTTGTGCAGAGCTAGCCTAAGTTAATCTGTAGTTCCCCATATTCCCCACATAGCCCGATCAGCAGGTGTGGCCTAAAAATAAAAGCAAAAAAAATAGAGGATTCTGAGATGAATTTTTTCTTAGGTATATAACAAAGGGCAAAATAGGTATATTTTAAAAGTTTGAGAAATTATAATAGGAAGATGAAGTGTTGTGGCAAAAGACGACTAACTGCAAAGAGCCATCAGCATTTAGGTGATAACAAAGGAAAACTTAACATAGAACTGGAAGATGCGAAACAGGATGTGGAAAACCAAGTGAATCCATCATCAGATATGGTAAGCAAATAGTTTCAAGGGCAACAGTCACTTCAGATGAAAGAAAGAATGTGATTGGTTAGTTTATAATCTCATATGCGTCAAACAGAAGAATGGAGATACAGGAGATGTGCACAGGGGAGAGAGGACAGAGAGGAGGGTAAGTAAGAAGCATTCTTACTAACTCTGAAATCTAGCCTCATTTTGTGAGCCAGGTTTTTTTCTCCTTCTTTTAAATAGGAAAAGAACAACATGGAAATAGATATGACATACCAACTAAAAGTTATACAGCAGAGCTTAGAACAAGAGGAAACGGAACATAAGACAACAAAAGCAAGGCTGGCAGATAAAAATAAAATTTATGAATCAATTGAAGAAGCAAAATCAGAAGCCATGAAAGGTAAGCAATTATGTGTGTGTGTGTGTGTGTGTGTGTGTGTGTTTGGGCGGGACTGGGGGTAGGGCAATGCTCAGAGCTATATGAGATTTTGTATGCAGGGGAACTATGTACTGTTGGGAGTAAACTGGGAGTTTGATCCTGGGTGAACTGCAATGCAAGGAAAAAGTCTAATTTTCTTGTACTATCTCTTTAGCCCCCAAAAGATAAAAAGCATTTTTTAAAGTGTTTCTTGGGACCATAGAGATAGCTCAGTGTGCTAGAACTCTTGTTTTATAACCAAGAAGTTTGGTTCAATCTCTAGCACTGCATGTTGTAAATTAAGATGTGTACAAAGCAGTAAATTGTGATAACAGAAGTTGTCACCAGGAGCAACCACCATGCACCACTGGATGTGGCCCAAAACACACACATGCATGCACACACATAATTTGTTTATTAGTCATTGCCAGAAACTAGAAACTGCAATTTCCAGGGCAAGGGATAGAATTGGCTTAATAGTAGAACTTAAGCTTCACATATTTGGGTACAATCCCACAAAAACAACTTTCACAGAAACAATGCTTGAATTATTTTTCTCTTTCTTTATGACCACAATCATTTCTAAAGTACAGTCTGTTCAACAAAGTTTTAGATCTGGGGCTGGACACGTGTGCAAGGCAACATCTTGGGTTGGACAGATAGTGCTGAGGGTATAGCCCTTTATTTGCATGTAGCCAACACACATTCAATCCCTGGCACCACATATAATCTCCTGTGCATTGCCGGTGTGACCCAAAAACAACAACAAAAAATTTTTAATCTAAAACATTAATATTTAAGTGGTATCAGTAGTGACAGACACAGAAGTATGAAGTTAAACACTCAGTTTCAGGGATGTACTCTTTTTTTATAATATTGACAGTTCACCAATTTGTGTTAGAAAATTCTTGCCAGTTTATGCAGGATAAAGAATTACAAATAGGGGCTGGAGCCAGAGTACAGTGAGTAGAGTGTTTGCCTGGCATGTGGCTGACCCAGGCTCCATCCTCTGTACTCCATATGCTCCCGATCCCTACCAGGGGTGATCCCTGAGTGCAGAGCCAGGAATAAGTCCTGAGCACTGCTGGATATGCCCGCCCCTTCAAAAACAAAATTTACAAATAATAACTGATTTAACTAGCATATAAATCCACTTTTTTTGGAACTTTGGTTTGAAGATATTAGCTAGATTTAGTGATTGAAAAAAAAAGCCACAAAAGAAGAAAAATATCACTGTATCACTGTCATCCTGTTGTTCATCGATTTCCTCGAGCAGGCACCAGTAACGTCTACTTCGTCCTAGCCCTGAGATCTTAGAAAGTGCCACATTCGAGGCTCCTTCAGGGTCAGGGGAATGAGACCCATCACTGTTACTGGTTTTTTGGCATGTTGAATACGCCATGGGGACTTTGTCAGACTCTGCTGTGAGGGCAGGATACTCTTGGTAGCCTGCCAGGTTCTCTAGAGTAAGAACTAGATAATAAGATGTTGCGCAGCAGGGTTTATAGTCTCTGGGTCTTGGCCATTGATGGGATTACACGGCGGGGGCAGTTGGTGGGTGTAACGCCTAGCTACTGGAAGATGGGGGATCTGGGTGGAGGAGGCCCAGTCCCAATCCGAGCAGGCTTGGAGATCTCAGCCCTGGGTCCCACACACCTGGGTTCCTCTGCTGGTTTCTTCATGCGTGAGGAACGTGTGGAGAGTGGTCTCAGCATGGCTGTGGTTGGTTCCGGAGGTCTTCGGCTGCTGGGGCTCTGCTTGGGGCAGGGAGGGGAACTCAAAGGAAGAAGAAAAATATATACAATACTAATGAATCTAGTTAAGTTTTCTGCAAACCAGCCTTATTGCAATATCTTGGATTATTTCTTGTTCTCCAAATTTTTTTTTAAATCATGATGGATTTGAAGTTTCAAAAGAATCAGTCAAGTATTTTTATAAAAGAATCACAGAGTTTTAAAAAGAGAACACTAGTTTATAATGTTATAGCCTGAGGTTTACATCAGCATAAATCAGCAGCTGATAATACATTATGTTATTTATAATACATTATGTTTACCACTCTCCAGATCTTTTCTTCATCTTACACTTGGCTCCTTTACCTGATTTACCCATCCACTTCCTCTTTTTCTTCTGGTAAATACCAATTTGTGGGGCTGGAGACATAGTATCTGGTTTAGGTACTTGCCTCCCTCATTCCTAACCTTCCTCCTGGGTAAACTCAGTGCTCTGGACTGAGTCTTAAGGTTTATATTCATTGACCATTGTCTGTTCCCTGGCTTTATTTCTTTATATTCCTCATACATGTGATATCATCCAGTATTTTTATATCTCCTAATTTAGTTTAATATGATACCCTCTCGTTTCTCCTAAATGATAGCAAAATGAAAGTGTTAATAACAGTAGTAATCATTATGTAGATACAATATCTCATAGTTTATCCATTCATCTGTTGTGGACAGTTGAGTGTTTCCAGGTTTTAGCTATTGTAAATAGTGTCACAGTGAACATAGGTGTGCATTTATCTTATCAAATTAATATTTGCGTTCTTGGAATTGATGCCAGGGAGTGGAATTGTTGGGTCATATGGTGGGTCACTTTATACCAGATACTTTGAGAATTCTCTGTACTGTTTTTCATGGAGACCAAGCCTCATTACATTTCTACCAACAGTGAAAGAGGGTTCTTTTTATTTATCCCCATCAGCACTCATTGTTTCCAGTCCTTTTTTGGTCTGGTTTGGTTTTTGTTTGGGGGACCACACCCAGTGGTGCACAGGGGCTATTCCTGGTTTTGTGACAGACTCAGAAATAACCCCTGGTTGTGCTCGGGGGTTCATATGCAGTGCCAGTAAGCACCTTATCTTTTGGACTCTTTCTCTGGTCCAAGGTTCTGGTCCTTTTGCACCACATTGTTCTCATTGATGTGAAGTCATATTTCATTGATTTATTTTTTTTTCTTTTGAATTTTTGGCCATACCAACGAATTCCTAGGAGACTGTATAGTGCCAAGGATTGAATCCAGCTCCTGGAAATTGCAAACTCTTGTAGCATTGGGGCTCCCAGACAGCTGGGACAAGGCTCTGCACATGTGAGAGACACCAGTGATCAGACTCGGGGCATTATGTTTCCAAGGCAGCACTTCCTGCCACTAAACTATCCCTGTGCCCAGGCTGGTAAACTGTGATTCCCTGAAAGTGAAGTTCAAGGGTGAACTTGTTGACATATGAAATTTGTCAAAAGGAGTGATGAGGATATTAAATTGGGAATTAAAATTACCTTAAGTTGGGGGCATAGGGATGATATAGGAAGTAAAGCTCTTGCTTGCCTTGCCTGCAACTGTGGTGACTGTGGCCCTGGCATCACATATGATTCCGATCTCCGGTACCACGTGTGATTTCTGAGTACAGAGCCAGGAATGACCTTGGAGCACTGTTGCATGTGGCCCAAAACTAAATAAATGATTTTTTAAAAGTGGTATTATTTTAATTGCACTTTGTCATATATTTGGTATGTCCCTTTTGATTTATTATTATATCCCTTCTTGTGGAACTAGAAATGGAAAAAAAGCTTTTGGAGGAAAGAACGTTGAAACAGAAAGTGGAGAACCTATTGCTGGAAGCTGAGAAAAGATGTTCTATATTAGATTGTGACCTCAAACAATCTCAACAGAAAATAAATGAACTTCTTAAACAGAAAGATGTGCTAAATGAGGATGTAAGTATGGTATTTACTACTAAATAATAAACGAGGTTTTTATAAACATTCATTGATGACTTCATCAATGAAGATGATGCAGAAAAAAAAGGGCTTTTTTTATGAAATAATATATTATAACCTCTTGATTTTATTGAGTTTCAATGATAAACTAATAAGAAATAGTTAAAGACCACATTTTAAGATACAACTCAAAAATACCCCCAAAGTGTATTATTTTCTTTTTAAAATTAAGCTCTCTTGAATTTAGCTAATAAGAATTTGTGAGAGTGTTAATGTTGTGTTTTAAGTTGGGACAGTATTACCAGTATTACTAAACTATGCCCACAATCAAAGAGACTCCACCACCGATCGGTCTACTTTGGGCCCATTCTGTTTATACCTTTTTCTCCCCTGTATGTGTCCACCCCCACTCCTTGATAACATCAGTTCTGTAGACAGAGTCTAAGAATACAAAAGGATTTATGTGTGAAAAAAATGAACTGTTTAGGACAAAAGCCTGTTTCATAAGATTGTTTACTGCTAGCTTAACTGGTAACACAAATCAAAATAATTTATTTGTATATCAAATACACATTTTTTATTTTTTAGGTTAGAAACTTGACATTAAAGATAGAGCAAGAAACTCAAAAACGTTGCCTTACACAAAATGACTTGAAGATGCAAACACAGCAAGTTAACACACTAAAAATGTCAGAAAAGCAGCTAAAGCAGGAGAATAATCATCTTATGGAAATGAAAATGAGTTTAGAAAAACAAAATGCTGAACTTCGAAAGTAAGTTGATTGTTTAAGACTAAGTTTTATTAATACAACTCTTCATGTGTTGTGTCTTAGGTTTGATTTATCTTTCAACCAAAGGGATTTTCTCTTAACCATTTTTATTTTCATGATTTTTTTTTTGTCTATACAAGTTGCGTAACACTCCTATATTTCGTGTCATGGATGTGAATATATAATTTGATTTAGTGGTTTATTATTTAACACTATACTTTTTTTTTTAAGGGAGGTACCTAGGCCAGAGTGATAGTATAACAAGTAGGGCATTTGCCTTGCTCACACCTGACCTTCGTTTGCTCCATGACCATCCCATATAGTCTCAAGCACCACCAGAAGTAATCCTGAATACAGAGCCAGGAGTAAACCCCCTGGGCAACACCGGGTGTTACCCCATCTCCCTCCCTTCTCCCTCTGGGACAAAAAGTAATAAAATAGGGACCAGACCTAATGGTGGGGAGGCAGAGAGAGACAAGGGCCATTCCTGCTGGTACTCGGCCTTGTGGTGGTGTCTAATGAATAGGTTCCCTGGGCCCAGCAGGGCTGTGGACTACATTACCAATCCAGTGGTACTTGGAAGTCCGTGCATTGCTGGAGAATCTAGCCCAGGTTCTCACAAATGCGAGAAATATCTTTGAGCCATATCACCTTTATACTATTAAAGTTATTAAGGACCTTAAGAAAGTTTGTGTATGAGTTATAGGTAATGATATTTTTGTTTTAGAAAATAGGAAAAAATTGATAGATGCATGCTACACAAACATATTTTATTACCTTTAGGAGCAATGATGTTATATATAGTCTCAAGAAAACAATACTAGAGAATAAATGAGAATTTTAAAGTGATGATGTTTAGAAAACGATTTAATCTTGTGGATCTTCTGAAAGGATCTTAGAGACTCCTAGGTTACTTAGGCCGCTCTTCATGTGCTGTTGTTTTTGTGTGTAATTTACTTAAATCTTTCAATGTACCACAGAGAACGTCAAGATGCAGATGGACAAATGAAAGAGCTACAAGATCAACTTGAAGCAGAGCAGTATTTCTCAGTAAGTTCCACAAGTCTCATCTGAAATTGTGATAGGATTTTTTTTTTTTTTGGTAATTTTTGCTGCAGAGCCAGGAGAATGATTCTTGTCTTTAAAATCGATCCTTTTTTTTTTTTTTTGGTCACACCCGGTGATGCACAGGGGTTACTCCTGGCGGTGCTCAGGGGACCATATGGGATGCTGAGAATCGAACCCGGATCGGCTGTGTGCAAGGCAAACGCCCTACCCGCTGTGCTATGTCTCCAGCCTCGAGAATAGATTCTTAAAACAAATACCAGGCTTGGGGTCAGGGAGATAATATAATGGGAGGCTTACTTGCCTTGTTTGTGTTCTGTCCAGCTTCGATCCGCAGCACCCCATCTGGTTCCCAAAGCATCACAAAGGTGATCCCTGATCACAGAACCAGAATTAAGCCCTGAACAATGCCAGGTGACAGTGTCTCTCCCCATTGGACACATTCACCCCCGAGCCACCCCAGAGTTTTGTTTTGATGGAGTATTATAAAAAAGATAACTGCAAAGGATTGTAGGTAGTTTAACAAAAAAAAATTTATTAGGAAAAATAGTTCTAAGCACATATTCTGTACCCTATAAAGTTGATTTTAAAAGTATTTTTATAATGAAAGTAATGTAATTGTCATTTTTACATTTGTGCTTTTTTAACATCAGTCTTAAAATCACCTTTTATTGATTGAAGCCAACACATTTTTTTCCTTATTTAAGTAAATATAATCTTTTTTCTACTAATCTTACATCTCTGTCATTTAGTGAAAAAAAAATTCACTCCATGCTATCCAGTTGAAAATCACACTTCCTGTTTGCATTACCACTAGTGAGACACATGCTCTCCCTTCACTATATTTCTCTGTAAATAAAAACTGTTTTTACTTCAAAAAGAAAAAAGAGAAAAATTGCATTTAAATTATCAGTCTGTTAACTACCAGAAATTAGAAGTTTATTAAACTACTAGTTTGCACAAGGTTTCAACATTATTTCTCTTAGGAACATACTTGTATAGTTTCAGCTTGTCTTTTTGTCTGGATAGATTTAGACTATCAAAATAATATTATTCCTGATAACTGTGATGATAAACATTTTGCTTTTTTTTTTTTTATGCTATTTAGACCCTCTATAAGACACAGGTTAGGGAGCTTAAAGAAGAATGCGAAGAAAAGACTAAACTTTGTAAAGAACTACAGCAGAAGAAACAGGAATTACAGGATGAAAGGTAAAAACCACAAAGCCCTATATGTGTTATTTTAGGAGCTTTTTTCCATGCTCCTAAAATAGATTCTGCTTAACTTTAATGAAAATTTTCTTTATGATGTGAGTTAGATAGAAGCGTTCACTGAATAGTAAGACATATGGACTGTATTTCATTGAACTTATAAAATGATCCCTCTCTAATATAGGGACTCGTTGGCTGCCCAATTGGAGATCACCTTGACCAAAGCAGATTCTGAACAGTTGGCTCGTTCAATTGCTGAAGAACAATATTCTGATTTGGAAAAGGAAAAGATCATGAAAGAGCTAGAAATCAAAGAGATGATGGCTAGGCACAAACAGGAACTCACTGAAAAAGATGCCACAATTGCATCTGTAAGTAAAATTTTTGGCTGTCTGTTGTTATAGCTAAATATGTCGTGGTTCTTCTTCAGAAAGCACTAGGGAGGTAAAATCAGTCCTAATGAAAAGCTGTTAGAAGGTTTTGTTTTTTTTTTCTCTGAGGCACTGCTGTTGGTATTTTGGGGAATCATACATTGCTGGAGATCGAACCCGAGACTCCCACATTAAACGCATGTGCCTTCAACCCTTTGAATTATCTCCCTGACCTCTGGATATAGATTTTTTTGATTCAATTATATCAGCTTCTCAGTGTTTTTTGATGGAGAGGTTGAAAAATGAACTACATCTAACAATTTAACCTTTCGGTAAATTCAGAGTTAAAGGAGTAAAGTGAAAGGAAAATACCAGAAACAGAAAACAGTTAATCTCACTCAACAAAATTTCGTTCAAAGGAATCTTGAAACTGCCATGAACATTAATCACATGTGGTTGAAAAAAATTTCAATGAAAATTTTAAAAGGAAGTGTCAAATACGTTTATTTGCCTTTTCACTTGCCAGATTTATAAAAATAGTAGTAATTTTCAAAGGTGGTACTGGAACAGAACTATTTATTTCTGTGAAAGTAAGTTTTTCAGTATTTGCAGGAATACACTTTGATTCTATATAGGGGTAATATAAGTGCTTGCCTTGCATTTAGTCGACCTGAGTTCAGTGGGCACCACCAGGCATCGCGATCCCTGAGGTCAGAACCAGGGAACCCTTAGCATAGTTGAGTGTGGCTCAGAAACCACACAATAACAAGTGTAATAAAATGATACAATCATGGATGAAGGGAAGAATGAACACATAGTGATAAAAAAATTCCTTCACAAGCTAAAGTATTATGTAGGACTAAAGTTGCTTGCCTTCTACATGGCCAAACCCAGTTTGATAACCACCACCACATACGAATCTGTGAGTGACCCTTCAATGCCACCTTCTATGGCTCAAGTTTTAAAAAAGGAAGAGTAAAGAAAAATTGCCTTCCAGAAAGATTAAAAAATAGAATTTGGAGGGAATACAATAGGATATTAATTTCTTTAGTAAGATTGCATTTTTGGTCTTAAAATAATCTTCTGAAATTTGTTTACTCTGCCTGAATGCGGACCTTTGTTGTTGACTATTTTTTCATTTGCCCAACATTTTTCTCATTAAAAAATATTACCAAGCCATCCCAGTCATACTGCTCATTCCCTTATGCATGTGTCTCCACTTAGGTAGCTCACTCCTTAGAAGATTTTTACCCCAAAGCTTAGTCTGACACTCATTTAAATGTAAGTACCCTTATTCTCCCCTGGAGTGTGTAAGGGTACATTTTTTTTTCCCTTTATTGTATTTTATTTTTTTTTAAAGTTGTAGCTTTACAATTTTTTGTGCTTTGGTTTCAATTATACAATGATCAGATACCCATCCCTCCACCAGTGCCCATTTTCCACCACCATGGATAATATCCCTCCCACCCCCATCCCCCCATCCCCCCTGTCTCTGTGGCAGGGCAATCCCCTGTGTTCTCTCTCTCCTTTTGGGTGTTGTGGTCTGCAAAAGAGGCATTGAGTGGCAAACATGTTCAGTCCATAGTCTACTTTCTACATGCATCTCCCCTCCTGGGAGGATCCTCCAAACATCCTTTATTTGGTGCTCCCTTCTCTATCTGAACTGCCCTTTCCTCTAGGATACCCGGCTGGCCTCTAAGTTATGGAGTAATCCTCCTGGTGCTGATCTCAGCTATTCTTGGGTATTAAGGGTACATTTTAATGTCTATCATTTAAAAAAATTATTTGAGATAGGGCAGTTTTTTGTTTGTTTTCTGGAGTGTATGTGAAGTGTGTTAAAGGTAATTTGGTAAGGTAGATCAAAGACATGAAGTGTAGAGATGGGATATACTTTTAAAAAAAGAGTTTTAATAACATTTTTGAGGCATGGCGGGACATGACACGTATTCCTTTTTGATTTATTAGCTTGAAGAAACAAATAGGACACTAACCAGTGATGTTGCCAATCTTGCTAATGAGAAAGAGGAATTAAACAACAAGTTAAAAGATGCTCAAGAACGTATGTATTAACAAAGACAGGTTTATTCTTAATATGCTTATTCTTAATATTTGTCAGATGCTATATTTATTAACATACTTTTGTATTTTTAATGTTTTAGAACTATCAAGATTAAAAGATGAAGAGATTAGTGCAACTGCTATTAAAGCACAATTTGAGAAGCAGCTGTTAACTGAAAGAACACTTAAAACTCAAGTATGTATAGTAGATTCTAGATAGGGTCTTAAACTTTTTAGCATGTCTCTTATGGCTTCTAAATCTATAGATTAACATTAACTTATTGAATGTATTGGTATTTGTGGTTAATGATTTTTACCCGATCGAGAGGACCTTGATTAACATCATCCAGTTCAGAATTCATGAAAGCTTGTAATTTTTTTGTTTGGAATATTTTCTTTTAATCTTTTAAAATTGTAATAGCCAGTTATTCTGCTCTTAAGAAAACTGTAGAAAATAATCATTTGCTGATAGCGAGAAAAAAAAAGTTTAGTCTGAAGAAACACCTGTGAATATTAAATAACCCTTGTCAACTCCATATATAAGCAGCATGTGTGCATTTGGCGCCCAGATACTCTCTTAATTGTTGGATGTGTTGTATTTAATATGATTCCAATGCAGAATTCTCTTCTCTTGTGAATAAAAGATCTACCTTGTTAAAGTTACTTTTTAAAAAATAAATCAAACTTAAAAAATTTAAATTACATTTCTTAGAGAACACTTAAGCGAAAAACTAGTATAAACTAGGGAAAATCATGAATAATGGAAGTATGTTATTTAATGTAGAAAGTATATGTGGAATAGGATATTATTAGTAGTTGTTTAGGTTACTCTTATTGGTGGGTTCTGAAGATGTATTTATAACAAGGTTTATTTATGTATTTATATTTAGTATATTTTATTATCAAATTTAAGATGTATTTTATTTGTGTGCCTATTTTTTTGTGTTCAAGGCTGTGAATAAGCTGGCTGAGATCATGAATCGCAAAGAACCTGTCAAGCGTGGTAGTGACACAGACGTGCGCAGGAAAGAGAAGGAGAATAGAAAACTACACATGGAGCTGAAATCTGAGCGTGAAAAGTTCACTCAGCAGATGATCAAGTATCAGAAAGAGCTGAATGAAATGCAGGCGGTAAGAGCACTTTTTTGACTCTAGACCAACTTGCTTTTTAAGAAGTACAGTTCTTTATGTCGATATCTTTGACTGTTCTATTTCTATTAGTAATTACTGAAGTAAGCAAAATTATGAAATGGCATCCCATTAATTTTAGGTAATTTAATTTCTTAACAGCAAATAGCTGAGGAGAACCAAATTCGAATTGAGCTGCAGATGACACTGGATAGCAAGGACAGCGACATTGAGCAGCTGCGCTCACAGCTCCAGGCCCTGCATATTGGCATGGACAGCTCTAGCATAGGCAGTGGGCCAGGCGATGCGGAAGCTGATGACGGCTTTCCAGGCACGGGTTTGTTTTTATCCCTTATTTTTATACAAGTCTTGACTTTTAAGACCTTTGACTATCTAGAAAAACTCACTTCTTGGATGACAATTTAAACCTTCTTTTATTTATTGAACTTTGACAAAAGTTTACGTTAAAGCTACAAAAGAATATTTTGTATATTTAGTTCAGTTCATTGTTACAGATAGCTCTCTCTTTTAAGCTTTCATTTTACTTTCTCTTAACTTTATGCATTCTTTTATGTTGGGTGTTTAGTTCATATCACTCAGTCACACACTATGGAATCTATGTCATTCACCTACCAGCGTTCCACTACTTCTCTCAATATTGCCACTAAGCCTTCCAGCTCTCATATGTTTGACTCTGATTCTGAATCAGAAGAAGAAATCTTGCCTTATTTACCTATTTCATCGGAACCTAATGGTATAGTTGATATTGTAAAGACCTTTTATCTTTGGGCTCCTACCCTTAATTTTGAAAAAATCATTTTTTTAACATGAACTAATCTCCACTAACTCTAACCAATTGCTTTGAGCTCAGTTAAAAAGAAACTGCTGCATGAATTTAAAAAAAATTATGGATATTTTTGCTCAGCATTGCTCTTACAGTTGATAGATTTAGTAGACTTAAGAAAAAGGAGTATATTGTTTTGCTGCCTGTTTCATCCATTTTATACCAAGCCAAAAATGCTTTCTGAGCTTTCTTTTCAAGAATGAAGTACAGAAAAAGCTATAGACTTCTACTGAATACTTACCTAATCAACAGTGTGGTAGGCATTATAAGATAGTCTTAATTCATTTTGAATTAATATGAATTTATCATGCTGCATAGCTTTAGTTTAGAATTCATATAGCTCTAGTTATTTACTTTTGTTGTCCCATTTCTCAGGTATGTACCCATTTAAAGTATTCATAAAATGATTGTATTGAAGTTGTTCTAGATCTGTACTCGTAATGCGACTCTGGATGAGAACGTCCCTTTTATTTATTTTTAATTATTTTCAGAGAAGACATGCACTATGTTCAGTTAGGTCTTTTTCCAAAAAAACAAACAAAAAATGACGAATTGTAATACAAATGGGCCTGTGAGGATAGACAGCTGCTTCTGGCAACTTTTCTCCTGAGTTTTGAAGATGCATGAATTTAATCAAAAGTATATTTGACTATAGAATATGTATATTTCCAATGTGATATAACCTGTATTTTATTGTATGACTTGCCTTTACTTATCCAACGTATCATAATATCAATGTATAATAATGGAATGGAGGATCTATTTGGCTTGGTTTTTGGTTAAATTGTTATTGATGAAATTGTTTTTTTTTTGTATTTCTAATTTTCCTGGGGGAATTGTTATTCACATAATCTTCTCTTTATAGAATCAAGACTAGAAGGATGGCTTTCTTTGCCTGTGCGAAATAACACTAAGAAATTCGGCTGGGTTAAAAAGGTAATTTATGTTTTTTGAATATTGTTTTTTGCTTTTTGTTTCTGTCTTGCTTTTCATTTAGCTACAACCATTTTACGTTTACAATTGTAAGATATATAGAATTGTCAGGTACAAAAGCTTGTTTACACTTTCTGATTTTAAATGATACGGTTTACATTTTAAATTTTAAATTTTAAATGATGTGGCTGGAACGATAGCACAGTGGGTAAGGCTTGCATCTGGCCAACATCACCAGCCTGGGTTCGATTCCTCCGCCCCTCTTGGAGAGCCTGGCAAGCTACCGAGAGTATCTCTCCCACACGGCAAAGCCTGGCAAGCTACTCTTGACTTATTCAATATGCAAAAAACAGTAACAACACGTCTCATAATTTGTTGTGAGACTTTACTAGCGCCGGCTCTAGCAAATCCACAAACAACGGGAGGACAGTGCTACATTATCTTTGTAAATCTTTTTCACCTCTAGTGTTTAATTATAAAACAGAGTTTGATATTTGGAAATAAGATCCTATTGGCCATGGTATTTTTGCTGGTTCATTGGGAAAGCAATTGAATTTGCCAAAATGATCTGTTACTTTAATTTTTCTCTATTATGTTGATTACTAATGTTATTGTGTCTGTTTTTTATAAATGTCTTAGTTCATTCAGGTGGCTTTAACAGACTGGGTGACTATGAACATATATTTATTTCTCAGTTCTGGACTCTGAAAGTGTAAAATTATTTTATCAGCATGGTTAGATTCTGAAAGATGCTCTTTTTAGAGTTTTTGCTTCTCATGTGTTCTCACTTGGAAGATTGAGTGCAGGTTGAAATCCCTAATGGGGACACTAATGTCTAAACTCATGAAAGAATCGCCTGTCAGGACCCTTCTTCCGAAAACATCCCATTAGGTATTGGGATTTAACAAGTGCATTTTAGGGAAATACAAACATTCAAGTTGTAGCAATAAAAGCTTCCTAAGAATGTTACTGAATTTTAAAGCTAAATAATTAGTTAAAAAATACCAGTTCCTTTCCAGTTTGCATATTTAAGTATATACAAACAATTTTTGCTATTTAGGACTTTTCTAAGGCTATATTAAGAACTTTTTAGTTATTTGAATACGTAAGATTTATATATAAAGATGGTATATATATTAACTTTAATCATTCCATCCTTCTTAACAGTATGTGATTGTAAGCAGTAAGAAGATTCTTTTCTATGACAGCGAACAAGATAAAGAACAATCTAATCCTTACATGGTTTTAGATATAGAGTAAGTGTTTCTATTAGAATATTTAGAAACTTCTTTTTTTTTTAAGTCAAGAGAGTACTGTGACTTTTTTTGTCAATATAGCTTATTATGTAGTATATTTACTCATAGCTACTATTGAATATTACTGTTATATTTGCTTCATGCCAATAAAAGTATAGCATATAGAATTAACTAAAATAACCTTATTCATGTATCTTTATTATTCAAGTTTACTGAAACAACATTTTTAACTTTTTACTAACTTCTTGAAATCTCAAGGAATTTGTAATTAGAGTAAGGTTTTCATCTGGCATGACTCAAAGTAGTTAAATTATCTTCTGATGTAAGTATAGATGCCTAATATCATTTGATCCTTTGGTAATACTCCATTTAAAATCTTTTATAGCAAGTTATTTCATGTTCGACCAGTTACACAGACGGATGTGTATAGAGCTGATGTTAGAGAAATTCCAAGGATATTCCAGGTAATCATTGTTTTATTTTGTGGGTTGGTTAATTGATTTAGTTTGCCTTTTTCATCTCTCAAGATTCTCAGAATGATACGATGTTTAAAATTCTTGTTCCTTCTTCTGATCACCTTTTGATTTTGGTCTCACTAAATGATTCTTTATTGAGTCATATTAAAAGATGATTCTTTATTGCTTATTCTTTTTCAATGCATTTTTATTCACTTCTCCATTTCATTTGTTGAGGTCTGTATTGTATTTTATTATCAACTTTCTGGTCTTTAATACCCCTTTATGCAAAGTTGGTTATGTTATTTTGTTCTTGGACCACAACCGGTGGTGTTCAGGGCTTGCTTCTGGCTCTGTGCTCATGAATCACTCCTGGCAGGGCTTGGGCAACAGTATGGGATGCCAGGGATCCAACCCTGGTCATCCACTTGCTAGGCAAGTGCCCTTCCTGCTATACTATCTCTCTAGCCACCTGGTTTTATTATTTTTTTATGTATAAACTAAATTTGTATACATTTTGTTCTCAATAATTTAGACTAATTCTGTTTATGGGAATTTTTTCATCAGTTTGTTTTGGCTTTTTGGAGGGCCCGGGGGTGCACACCAGACTATGCTCAGAGTTTGCTCTTGTGCTCAGGGTTTGCTCTTGGCTCTGTGCTCAGGGATCAGTGCTCAGGAGACTATAAGATGTGCCAGCAATTGAACCTGGGTCACCTTCATATATCAGCTTGGTTAGATGCTGTTCACTCTGGCCCCCAAATTGTTACTTCATTTAAAAAAAAAAGCACCTCTTAAGTAGCTCATCAGGCTAAGCTTATATTTTACTGCACATGCAGAAGGCCCATGGTCTCTCAAGCACTGCCCAAAGTGGACCTCTGACATAGAGCCTGATGTGGCCCCCAAGCACCACTGGGTGTGACTCAGAATAAGCTAACAGCAACAAAACACTTAGTTTGGGAACTCATTCATTGTTCTCTTTTGTATTACAGATTCTGTACGCCAATGAGGGAGAAAGTAAAAAGGAACAAGAATTCCCAGTAGAACCAGTGGGAGAAAAATCAAATTATATTTGCCACAAGGGACATGAATTTATTCCGACTCTGTATCATTTCCCAACCAACTGTGAGGCTTGTATGAAGCCGCTGTGGCATATGTTTAAACCTCCCCCTGCTTTAGAGTGTCGCCGCTGCCATATTAAGTGTCATAAAGATCACATGGATAAAAAGGAGGAGATAATAGCCCCATGCAAAGGTAAATACCAAATCATTCCATCAATATTATTTATGTTCAGGTAATTTTAAGCATCTTAATATTTTTGAAATATATCTTTATAGTGTATTACGATATTTCAACGGCAAAGAACCTGTTGTTGTTAGCAAATTCAACGGAAGACCAGCAGAAATGGGTTAGTCGGTTGGTGAAAAAAATACCCAAAAAGCCTCCAGCACCAGACCCTTTTGCAAGATCATCTCCCAGAACTTCAATGAAGATACAACAAAACCAGTCTATTAGGCGGCCAAGTCGGCAGCTTGCCCCTAACAAACCGAGGTAATAGAAGTTTAATAAAAATATTTCGCAGTTTTTTAATTCACACTACAAAATTTCCCGTTGTTTATGTGAGGTATGATAAAGTATTTTAAATATCGTAAAATTAGTGACTAAAGAAAAACCAACAAATTCAGAAACAGTGAATACTGTTTTTAACAGGTGCAAAATATGACCAAAGTAAATTTCTGTACAATTGTAGTATTATTAAAAATAGGCTCATTTTTTGTTACCTTACAATATTTAGTGCTTTCAGCTTTTAAACCCTTACATATATATTGGTTTTTCATTTAATTCTTTACATATTCGCTCATCTGATCCTTAAGTGACTCCTGTGGAGTGAAATAGGTGGTTTCATCTTTGTTTTTTAATTTTTGGTTTTGTTTTTTATTGAGTTACTAGAAGGACAAAATTGTAGATCAGGTCTACGGGAACCTTTATCCTTTTGACCATTTTATTTTGTGTTATTTGACAATATTTTCACTCATTTATTAACAGAATTTTTTACATTTGGAATTATTTTTTGAAGCAGTTTCAGACATAGGGAGTTACGTTTTCAAGCACATTTAAAATGATGTTCATTAGGGCTGGAGAGATAGCACAGCGGGTAGGGCATTTGCCTTGCACACGGCCGACCCGGGTTCGATTCCCAGTATCCCATATGTTCCCCTGAGCACTGCCCAGAGTAACTCCTGAGTGCAGAGCCAGGAGTAATCCCTGTGCATCGCCAGGTGTGACCCAAAAAGCAAAAAAAATAAAAAATAAAATAAAATGATGTTCATTGACTTTACAGGCCTATTCGAAAGCACCATTTTGTTACTGCTTTTATGTTCTTTAATTATGAACCTACCCTTCCAATAATTCTTCATTGATTTTATTTTATACATTTTGCTATAACCACAATATAGGTATTTTTTCCTCATTTAGACACATAGATAAAAAGTAAAACTCATTAAAATGTTTCACATATTGTGAATTTTTTAAAAAAGTATTAAACACTGGGATTTTTAATGTAAATATGGACATGCTTAAAACATTTTGTATTTTCTTATGCCTTTTATTTCCATTGTTTTTTACTTCTGTTCTTCCATTAACCTGTAAAATTGTATCTTGATCAGACTTGTATAAATGATCATATAGTTTACATTCCTTTTTGGATGACACATTTTAAGATTGGCATACACAAATAGGAGTACTGAAGAGCGTGAGATAGTAGTGAGTTACTGGAAAGTGTTATTTACATGTAGCATGTAAAGAAACTAAAGATCATTAGTCTTCTGAGGAAACAGTTTGAGGGGATAGAAGATTATAAATAGCAATAAGGATTTGAAAGACTTTTCCTTGGAAGATGCTTTAGACCAGTGTTTCTCAAAGTGGACGATACTGACACCTTCCCTGCTCCACACCCCTCCCCGTCCAGTGTCCAGTGAGCCATTGCTTCTGTTCAGTAGGGAGGTGGCGCAGCCTCTGGTGCAGTTGCCAGGAGTGGAGTGGCGGGGGTGGGGGACTTTCTTTTAAAGTTGAAAGAAAGAAGGTAGATTTGAGGGGTACCAGTCTTTAAGATTCACTTAAAGAAGGTAGATTGAGGGGGTAGATGGTGAAGAAGAAACAGGGCACTGGATAATTCTGAAAAGGAGATAATAGACCAAATAAATTTGGAAATTCGTTCTGACTATTAGACAACAGTGCATCCCAGTCGTATACAGCGAGTGCATGGCCCTGGAGGGGAATTAGGCATCGAACTAGAGAGCCTTTAATATTCCATTATTCAAATTTACAAATGAAGAGAGCTTGTTAAAGGGTCATTCCAGAAAAACCTAGGAATGACGTTTATGTTGCATAGCAGGGGCAGTTTGTTAATTGGTGTCACACCAATTGGGGCCACACTCAGCTGTGTGTAGAGCTTATTCTCAGCTGTGTTGTGGGATCACTCCTGGCAGGGCTCAAGGGACCCTGTGCAGTGCTGGAGATTGAACCTGGGTCAGCAACATGCAAGATGTAGGCCTTAACCACTTTCCTATCTCTTCAGCCTGTATCAGCAGTATTTAATGTCAAGCTCTTTTGGTTTATTTAGTCAGCCCTAATCTAGATTTAGTTGAATAATTCACACGGCTGGAGTGATAGCTCAGCGGTAGGGCGTTTGCCTTGCACGCAGCCAACATGGCCGACCCGAGTTCGATTCCTCTGCCCCTCTCAGAGAGCCCGGCAAGCTACCGAGAGTATCTCGCCCGCACGGCAGAGCCTGGCAAGCTCCCCGTGACGTATTCGATATGCCAAACACAGTAACAACAAAGTCTCCAATGGAGACGTTACTGGGCCCGCTCGAGCAAATTGATGATCAACGGGAGGGCCTTTATTTACTTTACTTTAATTCACATGACGTTCTCTTTTTAGAATAACTGTTTGTCTGTTAATATCCAAAATTATACACAAACATACTAAAAGATTATAATACATAAATACACAGAGCCCAAGGAATTTAATATTATGAGCTCTGAGGGTTTAAGATGAAAAGGTATGCTTAATTTAAAATAAAATAAAAGGTATGCAAATCCCATTACTCTTTCCAAGCTGTCTGCATCCTTAATTTTGTATATGTATCCTGATGCAGCCATTAAAAATGTCAAGTGATCTCTGTTAAGGAAGTATTTCTGTTTGAGACTTGCTCTGTGGCTTTGCTATGGAAGCAGATTTTTCATTACGACATACTCTGTTTTAAGATTTCATTGATGGGGCCACAGTGATAGTATAGCAGGTGGGTGTTGTCCTTGCCTGCAGCTGATCTGGTTCAACCTTTGCACCCCCATCTGGCCCCCCCAAGCCCTGTCAGGAGTGATCCCTGAGCACAGAGCCAAGAATAAGCTCTGAGCATCAGCAGGTGTGACCCAAATCAAAAATAAACAGAGTTTATTGGTGAGTGCCTCTTGCAGTAGTTTTTCATGACCTCACAGTACTGACCCTTTTCTATGAAAAGTGAAATTTATATTAATATTGTTGACTTGGAAAATGTATGTATCTCTTCTGACATTATATGTACCTTTAAAACAGCACAGCAGGTAGGGCGTTTGCCTTGCACTCGGCCAATCTGGGTTTGATTCCTTCGCCCCTTTCGGAGAGCCCGGCAAGCTACTGAGAGTATCCCGCCCACACAGCAGAGCTTGTCAAGCTACCATGGCGTATTTCAGTATGCCAAAAACAGTAATAAGAAGTCTCACAATTAAGACATTACTGGTGCCTGCTTTTGCAAATCAATGAACAACAGGAAGACAGTGCAATGCTAAATATACATCTAATTTTTTTAACTTTTCCTCACTGTCTTTTTTTTTTTAACAACTGAACCAGTACAATCTTCCACTGAACCAGTACAATCTTCCCTCTCCCTTTGGCTTTGGGACATTTCTAATTCTGATTCTTCTTTTAATTTTCACTGTAGTATATCTTTTAAATAAAATTTCTTCTATTATTATTGTATAAAACATACTTAAGTGCATGTTCTAGTCCAGATACTCCTCAGAGAACTTTAATTAGAGTTCCTTATTCTCTTTACCTCCATTAAATAAATGTGACTAGAACCAGAAACACTGTGGCCAAGGTACCACAGCTAACAGCAGAGGCATGAGTTCAAACCCAAATCAGTGTAATTACAAGGCCGACGTCTCCACTTTCTTATCCCAATGCCTACCAGTGATAGAAGAAATCGACAGTTTAAGTAGCACAGAGTATAGAGATGCTCCTCTAGAGAAAATCTTAGTAATTTTAAATTAAAATACTGTGCTAGAAAGTAGAAATTCTGAAGAAAATGTTGACTTTTTATTAAAACAGTTCAGAGTGAGCCTAGTTTGTTCCAAAGCAAGACAGAGAATATTGATTTCTGCTGAGAAGTGTATCCTTTTCATTATTTTTATCTTTTTTTGGGGGTGGGTCACACCCGGCGATGCTCAGGGGTTACTCCTGGTTCTGCACTCAGGAATCACCCCTGACAGTTCTCAGGGGACCATATGGGATGCTGGGAATAGAACCCAGTTTGGCCCCGTGCAAGGCAAACACCCTACCCGCTGTGCTACCACTCCAGCTCCTATTTTTATCTTTTAAAGATCTGTCTGCTTTTTTAAAAAAAATTCCTAAGTTGTGCATGAAAGTATAAAAACTTCAAATGCCTGTTTTTTGGGATTTAAAATAAAAAATATTGCCAACACAGAAAAAATTTTAGGGTATGAGAGAACTCAATCAATCACAAATCATCCTGTTAATCGTCGATTGCCTCGAGCAGTAATGTCTCCTTCATCCTAGCCCTGAGATTATATTCAAGGCTCTTTAGGAGAATGAGACCCATCATTGTTACTGGTATTTGTCATATTGGGTACGCCATGGGGAGTTTGCCAGACTCTGCCGTGTGGGCAGGCTACATTCGGTAGCCTGCCAGTTTGTCCAAAGTAGGAATGAGATAATAAGATGTTATAATAGGATGTTATAATAGGTTCCGGGAGCTGGTTTTTATGGTCTCTGAGTCTTGGCCGTTGATGGGATTACACGGCGCCAGGGGGCCAGGTGGTGGGTATGACCCCTGCCTACTGGAATTTGGAGAATCTGGGTGGAGGATGCTCGGTCCAAATCCGAGTAGGCTTGGAGATCTCGGCCCCGGAACCCGCGTGACTTTGTCCTTCTGCCAGTACCTTCATGTGTGCCAAGAGTGGTCTCAGCATGGTGGTGGCTGGTCCTGGAGGTCTTTGGCTGCCGGAGCCCTGAGAACTATTACCAACTTTTGGAGACGGGGGTTGGGAGGGGGGTGTGCACCCAGCTCTGTTCAGTGCTTACTCCGGGGACCAGATGAGATGCCAGGGATCAAACCTGGGATGGCCACGTGCAAAGCAAACACCCTACTCACTATACTATGACTCTAATCCACTTTTGTTGTGTGTGTGTGTTTTTTGGGGGGGTGGTGATCTGGGAGGGTTGTGAAGCAAAATAATTGTTTTGTGTTTGGGGTTTGTTTGGAATATTTT